GATCTAAATGGAATCTGCAACTGACCCGTGGTATCGCTGAGCGGATGATGTTTAGAATAAACAGCACTTGTGAATTTCGCAAAGTACTTTTCGAGTGGCGGTTTTTGGCAAAAGTGGCCACAATGATAACGACGGTAAAGGCGACACGACGCTATAACCCGCGTACATCTACGAGAAATCTACGAGAACCCGCGTACATCTACGGGAAATCAAATCATCATAAGCTCCTTGGATGAGCTGAGCCTTCCAACGATTTACCGAGCAGCTCCGGGCATTCGAGGCACTCGGCGAACGATTTAAAATGACGCTCTATGCATTTTGCACGGTCACCTTGCTGATCCTACTTAACCTTGCCGAGCAATGAAATACGGCTCTGGTCTCGCGAATACGGCGGTTATTGGCAAAAGCTATCTCAATAACGGTGCACACGCCGCTAATGTGGCTCGCAATACGACCCGAGGCTGTAGCAAAGCAATTCGTCGTTAAGGAGAAGATCGCCACGTTGACGTGATTTTTTAATTTAAAACAAAACACTGACGAGGCAGGCGCGCGGCGCGCGTCGCGAGAAACGCGCGACGATGCAGAGCAGATGGGTGTCGCGCGGTTGTAGTGTTACTCTCGGCGTCACTCTCCACATCATTACCATCCGCTCACTTAGAGCCATCGCCCGTTATTGCGTTAATATTCCCTTTAGCGAGCACTTCCTAAAGTAATGGACTTGCCTTCGCTCACGGAGAGCAGTTATCGCACGAACGGCAATCGGAGGACGCTTCGCATGAATCATCGGCGTCAACCAGCGCCACGATATCAACGCGCTGGTCGGCGTGATAATAGCATTCAAACGTTTAAAATAATTTTGCCCATGAGAATATATTATAATAATAATCATCATCATCATATTGCCCTCTCATGTCCACCATGTGGCCCTCACGAGATCGGGTGATGAGTAAATCCACACAGCGCCTCGGGTCGCATTGATAGTAGGGGTCCATTAGGGTTCCAGTCCAGCGTGGTAACCATTACACCCTAGCAGCTTCCCCAGGAGAGGGGAAAAAACATAATTATCTTAAAATATTTAAAACTTGTGTGTCGAGATGCACAACTGGCACGGGCAGAATCCACCAAAGCATCCGTCTTCATATGACTCCCTCTGCTGCCTGGAGCCTTCTTTGCGTCGGGCAACGCCACCTGTAATTTATTGAGCCCGGGGCTAATTGCCGGTACATTATTGGACAAATGGGAGAGTAATGATGCTAGCGCATGGGCCCGTCGCATTAATTTGAGTCCAGATGTCAATGCGCAAGCCACGATTACTGCCACCGAGAACAAATTGACACCTCCGCCACGGGTGGGACTATAACGGAGACGGGGCTCATTGGGCGCAGGACCCACTCGCACATGTACATGGCCTTCCCACGCAAGCTGAGTGTGGGGGGGGGGGCACCGTTAGAAAGCACAAACGGAGACAAACAGCAGCCTTTGGCGGGCAAAGCCACAAGAACGATATTCGCACGACTGTGCCCGCATTTGCGTAAACATCGGTCCTTCCACCTTCAAGGAAGCGGCAATCTTATTCAAACCCTGGCCTGTGTCCTGGCAAGATGAATTACCATTCTGAGAATTCAGTAGGGGGAATGGGAGATGCTTAAGCCTTGGTGAGGCAGGCTACAAGACAATTACTGAACGCAGCCGACTGGAATGGAGACTGCAATGGGGCTTATGCAGCTCATGGTTGCTGAGGCTACACGATGCAAACTGCGAGACATGTATTTTATAATGGGATGTGTTTACTTTCGGATGCAGTATTTATTTAGTTTTTCTTGAACCGATACGAGTATTTTCCGTTGATTTTAATGGTTTCACCACGCGTGTAAAGCACGTATTTTGTTAATGTATTATACTAACTTTCAGCCCTTTGCAAATCCACGGATTAATGGTCTCCATCCATCCATAATAGTTGTGGTGTTTTATTTTATCATACCTCACCACAACGGTAAATAAAAAAAAATATCCCAAAGTGCATCTGCCGTCGGCGACATGAAGCCGTGGAGGGCGCGACGGCTCTCCGGCAGCGGACCACGTGCTCACCAGGCTCCTCCCTCTGGCTCTCGCGAGGCTTCACGCGAACGCATGCACGTGGCCTGTTGACTCCCTCTGCCATTCGAAGGTGAAAGGACGCCTTGGTCAGAGTGCGGGCTGGTCAAGCACAGGGCCCAGAGTCTGTTCAAAAACCAACTCCCCACTGATGTTAGCAATGGTCAGGAATGAAACTCGCGTCAAACGAGTTTCATTCCTGAGACGCTGGACTCTTGATATGCAAATTATTTTGTCGAGGCGCCCTTCCCACCTTCCAACCCAGCTTAAATATATGCTCCAAGCGTGGTGGTGTTTCATTCAGACGCTGTCACCCCGACAGACCTGGTCTTCACCTGAGGACGGCTGCTTGCGTTGTGGCCGAAATGTCGTGAGAATTATTTTATTGTCTTATTTTATTATTTATTATTTCCCTTCTACGTGACTTTACCGAAAGAACCAAGAAGAGGAAGTCGCGTCAAGCAGTCTTACGTGCAGTGCGCAAACCACGTCACCTCTGGTCGTCTACCCCATGTACTAATTTACCAATTTCAAATTAATTGAAAACATGAAGCATTGAAACTTCAATGTGTTAATAAAAGAAATAATACGAGAGCTTCACAGTGTACACGTCACCAGTGTACACAGAACCGGGTGGTGGTGGTGGTGGATATGCACGTGGCCTCGAGTGCAGCACGGTGGAGGTGTGAAGCCATACCTGGCTCACCAGAAGGCAATACAGCAAGTGGACAAAATGCCATCCGTTTCCATCTGTTAGGGGATTGAGTGTTGCCCCCTTGCATGCGTGGGTTTTCTCTGGATGCTCTGGTTTCCTCTCACACGTATGAACACTCATCATCAAATGGCTGAAAACATTTAAAATAGAAATCCAATTCAAATCCTTCCTGAAAAAAGGAGTTATATGACTCAGTGTGGCTTTTCTGTAAAATCACAAGCACTCACTTTCACGAGCAAAGCGATCACGCTCGCGATCGCCACCGCTTCGCCAACGTTCACTACGGAGTTGAGCCGAGTGAACCCACGACAAATACAAGGGCGACAATCTCCACTTTGTTTACAAATACAGATTTATTTAATGCTCCACAAAATGAATTGCAAAAAAAAAGGGATCAGCTTTCGGCATGTCAGCTCTCTCTCGTCGTCACTTTAAACTGGCCTTGCAAACAGGTGACAATAAATACTCGACGTGCGGGGCATCCGTATGTACACATCTTTCCGCGGGGTCTGCTGCCCAGTCTTTGGCTTGGCCTGCACGGTCCCCCGGGGCGCCGCCCCTCCTCCTCGCCCCCGCCCCTCCTCCTCGCCCCCGCACTCCGAGAGGCTCCACGGCGCCGTCATCGCCCTCTCAGCGTTGGGCACGTGCGCCGAGCGATGCAAATTCACGCGGAGTCTCGCGATCCCTGTACCTCTCTGCCGTGCACTACCGTCATCGGTGCCCCGCTCCCCTAGGGAGACGCTGGACTGCGCCGCCATCGTTGGCATCCGTCGCGTGCAGCCACTTCCGATCTTGCGCCGTTGTGTTGGCTGGCGCCGTCTTCAAGATCGCAAGCGAAACCCACGAACGCCACAACCGCGATTCCGCACGGAAACACCGCGCGTGCGCTCACAGTCGTAAACTCGCACGCAAACTGCGCGCGCCCGTACATACTCATATTCAAAGGTCAAACCCCAGGACTGATGAAAAGCACTGAAAATAGGAGGCCCGGCAAAGGGCCGCACAACTCGTCAATTAAACAAGCTTCCTTTGGGCCGACGCGGTGTGTTTGGGCGACGCAGCAATGATGCATAAAGGTTGGAATTGTACTCTTTATACTCTTTGGTTCTTTCGGTAAAGTCACGTAAGGTAGAATTAAATCAATCACGACGTTTCGATCGCAACACAAGCAATCGTCATCAGGTTTTCCACTTGATGAGGATTGCTTGTGTATTTCTACCCACGTGACCTTACCGAAAGAACCAAAGAGTATGGATTCCTGCAATCACGAAAGCTTAAAATCAAAATTGTACTATTTACTTTGATATATAAATAAATCCAGCACATTATCTAAAGACCTGTGGTGTTTGGTGTAAGCGTACCAAACATCTGTTAAAACCACAGTTTGAACAAATGGAGGGCTGGTAGGAAGTGGGAAAAAATTGTCAGTGAGTGAAGTCCAGGGCCTTCAAGAGGGGGAGGCAGGGGGGCGAAAGGGAAAACTTTCCCCAGGCCTCACGTAATTGAAGGCCCCACAACCAGCTCGTGGATGGTGGAACAAGGGCCTCCAGGGACCTCTCGTCGGCCCTGGTGAAGGTCCGCTGAAAGCTCGGTCTCTACGAGACAGAGGCAATGGCAGTGTGTGTGTGCTCACCGGCACCCCCGTCACCCAAGCCATTGTGTCCGTAGACGTGAACACGAGTTTGTTCGAGGTGCAGAGAAGATCGCTACTCGCGCTCTGTAACCGTATGCGAAGCAACATAGGACGTGCGTGTGCTTCCCAGACGCCTTGCAATAATACACGAGGCTGACTTCACGTTGCACGATTTTACTTTAACGCAGAAGAGGATCGGGCCCAACGACGAACGGGTGAGCGAGCAAGCTGCTGCCCTAGTATTCGAACAGCACTGCGAGCGAATAATGAGAGAGCTTGGATTAGTAAGCGCCCACAGCATCTGAAAGGTAGCACGACTTCGTACCGTTTGAGCGACGGCATTCTGACGCAGTTCTCCAAACTGTCATTGTTTTGTTTTGTCGCTCGCTCCACGTGGGCCGGCAAACGGCGAGCACCGGCACGTTCGGTGCCGTAGCAACGTCACGCGAGCGGGCGGACGGACCCCGCGCACCTCGGCAGTCGCAACAACGGCCAACGCGAACCACAACCCTCCCCCCCCCCCGACTCGTCGGTGATCCGCGTAGAGGCCTGCTGCCCCCCCCCCCCTCTCGCATTGTGGCGGACAAGACGCGGGACGGGACGGCGGCGTACACGCCCGGCCGGCCTCAACTGCGGGGCCGGCCGCTACGGGCTCGAGCGTAGGGTTCAGCGGCGCGCGCGTTCGTTCGGCTCGCAGACCCACGGACACCACAATCATCTCACGACTTGACGCTGTCAAGCAGCACTCCGTAGATTTAAAAAAATACAAATATCCAGGCATTTTCTCACACCGAAGCTCGCCCCGTTATGTCACAATCCACTCGAAAAATACCGTTTTAGTTTATATCATCTGCAAGTATATTAACATTCAGCACTGCGTCTAGATAGCATTATTTAAATTACATTTCGCTGCATTGTTTCTTCAAGCGTAAGGATTCGAAATTCAAAATAATTAAGTCGCTCGGTGTACGCGTGGAGGTCTAAAAGACTTGGCAACCAAAGTCAAGGAAAATAAAATCTTACGGTACAAAAACACGTCCAACTCAAATCACAAATGCCAAGCAAATATACGGGAAAAACCCCCAACTTTTTTCCCCCCACTGCATATTAAACGCCTATGCCTCAAACAACATCAATATACGCAACAGTTAGTGCAAATGTATTAAAACGGACAGTTAAATTCCAAAGGGCAAGGTCATGATGCGGGGAGGGGTTGGGGCACCTACAGAAGCGGCAGCGAGACGCGAGTGAGCGAGCGAGCAGCTGAGCTCCCGCGGCCACTCTCGTGGTGCAGTGCCGAGAGCGAGGAGACGCGGCTCATCGACGCCTCTCTCCCCCTCCCTCCTTCCCTCCCCACCTGCCCCTTCCATCTTCACTCTTCGTCTCTCCCCTCTCCCGTCTCGCCTGGCTCTCAAGTTCTCCGGCTGTCCGCGGACCTCCCCCCTCCTCTACCGCCCGCTGCTGCTCCTCCTCATAACCTCTGCGCTCCGCCGGCTCTCATTTGCTCGAAGTCTTACTCGCTCGCGCTCCATCTCAAATCCCCGCTCCGCGCCGCTTTCCCTTCACCCCTGACCCCTCACTCGCGCTGCACCCCCCCCCCCCCCAGTCCACCGCCTCGCTCCCCTCCCCCGCTGGAGACGCGGGGACCGCGTGGGAGCGCGACAGGGTCCCCTCGGCTGTGCTGGACGGGGACGCGGGTGGCTGCAGAGAGACAGCGAGTCTCCACTCTACGGCTGGAACTGGCTCAGGAACTCCAGCGCCGTGTCGTAGCAGAAGCGGTATTGCTCCTGTGGACAGAAGAACAACAGCAGCACGCATCACACGCCTGCAAGGCGGCAACCTCGAGACTGGCACATAGCGTATGTTCCTGATCAGATCTGCCGTGGTGTGAACGGTAGCACAGAGGACCTGCAGTTCAGGGGTCCGCTGGTTGGATTCCATCGACTGTCACGGCGGTCTTAAAACAATTATGGGACAAGTTTCTTTAATGTCCCCACCTCTGTCCACCAAGCGGTATAAATGGGCACACCATGGTTCTTCTGTGACCCACGGGTTGTCTGTAGTGAAGTCACGTGCGGTCACTCCCACCTCTGCCAGCACGTGTGATCAGCGTGGAGGAGTAGGGAAAATACCCTCTACAGCTCCATTTAGTGGAGGCCCTTCCACCAGCAGTGGTGTGAGCGAGCAATTGCAGGGCTGCGCCCTTGCTCTTACCCTCTCAGTGGGGCTGCTATAATAGACTGGACTCATTATTCAAATGTAGGTTTCAGAATCAAAATCTGAATATTTATTTACGCTGCAGGAGGAATCCCACGAGCTATAAAGCTCTTTTTCACAGATGTCCAGTAAACATGGCCGGTGTCCGCATTGAGCATTTCTTCCGTCAACGTTTCACCATGCGCTACTGCAGACATCCTCAGCAGTTGAATCGAGAGAGGAAATGCCCAATACAGAAAACCACAACTCGTATTTCAAGTAGCTGCTAAAAAAATAACTCGCGTGAAATTCCTTACTTGCAAACATTTGCCTTAAAACAAACTCTACATGAGGTAGGCATCTTATAGTCCTACACCCCATTTCCACTGCACAGCTGAGCCATGCCGGAGCCGTACCGAGCTCGCTCGGCACGCGGCTCAGGAGGTGCCGGGTTGGTTTTCCACTGCAAAAGCCGAGCCGTGACACTGGGTGAGTCGGGGCACAAGCAGGTGACCACGATGGTGCGGTGCCCTCACGGTGTGCCGACTGACACCAACGTGTGGACCAAAATGATTAATTACCGGCCCTGGTCATGCTTGGCCCGAGCCACACTCAGACATCTTGCAAGGCCGGTTTTATGGTTTGCATCCGGCTCGGTTCAGCAGTGGAAAACCACTCGTACCGACAAGCCACTGTGCAGACTCGGCTCGGATGTGCGAGTGGGAAAAGAGGTGATGTCAGTCTGTTACCCGGTTTAAACAAAGGAGTGACCGACCGACACATAGCAGCAAGATGCACTTTTCCGAGCCAATTGTGAGCATCGCACCCCGCACTGCCACTCGCTTAAAGCACAACGGAGGCTTTCAGCCTCGATTACGGCTGTCAAGACGTCGTCCAGCTGAGAAACTGAAATTAGACACACACTTAAGCGTTTCCATTACTTTCACCCTTAACATCAATAAACTCTATGTGACATCATTAATACGTAAATGAGAAGCTTCAAACTAAGCCCAATAATAACTTGGTGTGGCTTCTGACTTCTATGTAAATATATATTTACACAAATACATTATTTTGGCCTCCTTTTGTAGACAATAAATTGACTCGGATTACAGTCCAATTTGATTTCAAATGCTCCTGCGATTGCCACCCGTTCCACATGCAAAGGAGCACACGCGTGTCAACGGCTTCTTATCAGTTTATAAATAAAGGAGCTGATTGACCGATCTAATTTGATTCCTGTTTATTGTCCTTAAGCCACCGGCATCACCGGCATCGATCGGCCTCTCGTAAACCGCGGTGGCCGTCGCGTCCCACGCCTGCTCGTAAACAAGCCGGCAGCCATCCAGCAGTGGAGAAGAGCCGTGTCCTCTCCTACCGCCGGAGTCAGGCCTGCGCAGGCCTGGAGCCGTTTCCCACGGTGTCGCAATGCGGCAATCTCCCCTGGCTCCCGCTCGGTCGCTCCACCTCCACGGCAGAAGTGTCCTCGGTCACACGTTGCCCTGCCCAAGCCCGTTCACGTTCATCAACTCAATGCGATCTATTGTTTAATGTGGCGCGGTGCAAACCGTCAGGCATATCACCGATGACTGCCCCAATACAGCACGCGTACTCTGGTGGAACAAGCCGACTCCCACTCAGCTACCACCTCGCATGCCTTGGAGTCGCTTACAATGTTAACAATACAATTGTAGCCTGCTGTTTTATTTTTTAATGCTATACAAACAAAGAAGTCAACGAGATGCCTCTAACCGGCTTGTGCTCTCTAAGTCATGTACCGCTTCCTGTCTCTTTGAGCGATGCCAAGCATGCACTTCTCTCTCCGTGCATTTTTGCAACATTTTCAGCTCACTGTTTTTTATGCACCACTGTTTTGCCAATGTCTATATTCATCACCCACATGCCAAAGCAGGTCATAGGCGGTGACTGAATATCTGCAATTGTGCCATGAACACCAAGAGCCAGATTGTCACACGTTGGGTGAGAGGATGAGTGTCACAAATTTGGAAAAACCGAGGGTGGCAGAAGGAAGGAAGCAATGGCATGGTGCATTGTCATCAAAGGCTCTGGCCACAATGACCCCTCGAGCTTCAATTATTTCAACCATTTTCCAGATGGGGCGGTGGCGTTTAATCCGTTCCTGGTGGTGTCTTTGTTGCGTAACCGCCGCGCTGAGATAGCCACTCAGCTCAGAATTTCACCCTTGTACACTTTGAAGTAGCCCACATGGCAGGTTTGTGACAATGCGTTTGTTAATATCATCATTCAGTGCCAATGCCCTTGTGTCCACAGTCCACAATTCTTTTGCCAATTTGCGTTTGAAGGTCACCCACTTAAATAGCCTTCACACAGACACAGACCAGTGCCTTCCACACTGCAGGGTCGCCAGGAGATAGCGGCAGATGGATGGACTATTGAGTCTGTCTGTGTGGAACTTTGAGAGACAGCTTTCTCCAGGCACTCTGGGGGCTTATGCTTTTTTGACCGTAAAAAATAAGTAAGCGGACTTGGTCAGGCAGGATATGTCACTGGATGGGACGATGGCCGGTGGTCAAGACTAACAACAGATTGGCAGCCAAAGGAGGGAACGCACCCAAAGGGCGATCGCTGTGGAGATGAAGCAATAGCATCGGCTCGTGCGCAGGTGCTGGATGAGATTGGGACATCGCCAGACTGAGACGGTGACAGCTTTTGGGAGACATTCATCCAGCAGTTACGATGATCACTCACAGATCTTGCCGCACATTAATCCAAACACTCGTTACAGTCGCGAGACTCGGCGAGGCTTTCCTGTCCAGGAAAGGGCATTAATTCACCTGGCCTCTGTTGGTTCCCACTCTCAAACTGGCTACACACTGGGAGTGATACGTTTCATTGGGTTTGATATTCATTTTACAAATGCATATACCGCATGTATGTTTGCGTACACGGTGTCATTGCCACGTATGTGTTAATGACACCCTGGACGCAGTTGCAAACGGGGTTTTCCATTACGAGGGATTTTGCAAGGGTGAAATATTTGGAGTAAAAATCCGAACGCTCCCGAAGGCGCGGCGAGCGGCGCGGTGTACGGCGAGCCGGATCGAGGTGGCTTTGGCGTCTATCTCCGACCCCGCATTTGTGGAGGTCCCATCGCCACCACCGGACCCTCTCTGCAAAGCTCAGCAACCTCTCCTCCTGCCTCTCTAGAGAGCTCAGCAACGTCTCCTCCTGCCTCTCTAGAGAGCTCAGCAACCTCTCCTCCTGTCTCTCTAGAGAGCTCAGCAAGCTCTCCTCCTGTCTCTCTAGAGAGCTCAGCAAGCTCTCCTCCTGTCTCTCTAGAGAGCTCAGCAAGCTCTCCTCCTGTCTCTCTAGAGAGCTCAGCAAGCTCTCCTCCTGTCTCTCTAGAGAGCTCAGCAACCTCTCCTCCTGTCTCTCTAGAGAGCTCAGCAAGCTCTCCTCCTGTCTCTCTAGAGAGCTCAGCAAGCTCTCCTCCTGTCTCTCTAGAGAGCTCAGCAAGCTCTCCTCCTGCCTCTCTAGAGAGCTCAGCAATCTCTCCTCCTGCCTCTCTAGAGAGCTCAGCAACCTCTCCTCCTGCCTCTCTAGAGAGCCCAGCAAGCTCTCCTCCTGTCTCTCTAGAGAGCTCAGCAAGCTCTCCTCCTGTCTCTCTAGAGAGCTCAGCAAGCTCTCCTCCTGTCTCTCTAGAGAGCTCAGCAAGCTCTCCTCCTGCCTCTCCTGCGCTTATATTTTTTTTTGGGGGGGGGGGGTGGTCTGCAGAGATCATTGCCAAATCAGCCGCGAAATGATCGTCCTCTCGAGATATCCCGCTGACACACTTACATCGTCTGTTGCCCGCGGCTGTCTTCATTACCTGGCTGACTATCGATGCCAATGGCACGGTGACAATGCAGAGCTCCCAGCACATCCCCTTGCTACTGGTGGCACAGCTCATCCATCATAACCCCCTCCAGCACCAAATGGAACTCAGACCTCCGTGTGCGTGCGTGCGTGCGTGCTTGCGCAGTTGCGTTGGTGACTGTGGGGAACGCTAGCAAGGTATGTATATATGTTGAACTTCTTTTGCGCTGTACATAGCCAACCATGCTAATGGGCGGTGCGGGGGAAGGACAACAAACTGAACACAAACAGAAGTTCTAACAGTGGTGATTTTCTGAGCCGTCCGCGGCCTCAACCTTAAGCTGACTCAGCCTTAAATCAGCAGCTGGTGCGACGTGTAAACATCAGCACTCGGGAGACAGAGTTGGCCGGAAGTGCTGGGGACCACACCACCCTCGCATGCACCGGGAAGACGATGATAGTCGCTCGCTGCAGCACTTGACCCAACACTCTGTATAGCCTACATGGGGATTCTTTGTCTTTGTGGTTATTAGACGACGTATTCCAGGCGTACTGGAGAAGCTGTAGCGTGTGCCCCCCTACCCTACAAGGGACTTAATACGTCAAAGCCGCTGGCACACACACACACGCACACACACACACGCACACACACACGCACACACACACACGCACACACACACACACACACAACAACAACAACAACCGCCATTCGCCACTAAGTGGCGGTGACGTCACCACGATGCTTGTGCCAGGCCAAGTGCACCTTGAGGCCACGTGAAGTGTCGAAAGCCCGCTGGCAGGAGGTCACGGGGCAGACCCAGGTGCCACTGGTCGACTGACCGAGATGACCGAGATGACTGGCTGATGCACCACCTGTGCCCCCTACTGTGCCAACTTGCTGTGCTTTAGCCACCCGGCGCTCCGCTCGTTGTTGTGAGCGTCGCTCCTCCGCCCTCCGTTGTTGTTGGAGGGCGACTGCCTCCAACTGCCCAGTAGCGTCCTTCACGAGCCTCCTCCACTGAGGCCGATCTTGACACCGCTGGTACCAGTCATCGGCAAGTCCACTCAGCTCCACGTCCTCCTGTACCACATCACTCCATCTCTTCTCCAGCCCGTGCCGCGCCCGTCTAGCCCCCTCGATCCGGCCGAACAAAAGCTGTTTAGGCATGCGGTGGCTGGGCATGCGGGCTACATGACCCAGCCAACGCAGCCTTGCCTGCCGGAGGAGCTCACTGATGGGACTTTGCCCAGATCTTTCAAGGATTTGTGAGCTCCTCACACAATCCAGCCTGGTTAAACCCAGGATGGATCGTAGGCAGGCCAGCCTAAATGTTTCCAACCGGCGAAGATGCTCCACCAGGGGGGTCCACGTCTCGCACACACACACACGCACGCACGTGCTCTTTATCCATGCCGCGTGATGCACTCCACCACCGTGTTTGCCCCACAGCAACATCATTTTTAGCCAAGCGATTAGCGCGTGTCTGTTCCGCTCGCTGAGCACCTCCACGGAAGCTTGAATTTGATTTCACACGGAGCCCCCTCGAATTTGCAACGGCGGTGCAGATGGGTTTTTATTATTCTCAATATCATCATCATGGCTCTTGCACACAGGCCCAAAGGTGGTCAGCAGTGTTCAGCACTACTGAGGGGACAATCGACCACAGTTTCGATGTTGCAATCGAAATGTATTCATACATCTCACAGCAGCGCAACACCTCGTGTTAGAAAACAGCCCACAGAAGTGGATATCACAGAGCTAACTCCAGATCCCTTCTGGTCCACACAGCACAGCATAGCACTTTTCCACCCATTATGCATGAGAGTAATGTTCATTGTATGACAGGCACCTACATTTAATTCCCAGAGGTGGAATTTCACCTAATTAAGCACAAAACCCAATTTAATGGGGTGAGGTTTATTGCGCAGTGACTGGGCTGAGGCCACCAGATCGCTGCGCTTGAGAAGCCGATTTTACCTACAGGCAGCCAAAACTGGGATTCGAACCCAAGTATGGGCCCAGCAGCCATCGCCCCTCACCCCGCGTCCACGGCCGCTGAGTGGCTCCGTGTTCGCACGCCCGCCCGCCACTCACCAGCGTCTCCACCATGTTGGGCTTGTTGTTGCGCAGCGTCTTGACGGCCGTGAACACGTCGGCCACGCTCTGACCCTTCACCATGTCGCACAGGATGCTGACGGCGCAGTACGTGCCGCTCTGACCGCCGCCGTTCCTGCCACGCACGCCAGGGTCACAGCCACGCACGCCAGGGTCACAGTCACTCTCCGTCCGCCGAAAGTCACGACGATCGTTCGTATCCCCTCCCGTGGTCCTCTCGGCTCGGTCCACCCAGACGCTTCCGACTGCCGGACGGCAGCACGGAATCCTTCGAGCCGGGCTCTTGCGGGGCTCACAGAGCGATGAGCTTGACGTCACGGCCAACTGAACCGCAACGTGGTCTGCCCCAGAGCCAATTTGCGCCACAGGGAATTGACGTTTGAGAAATATTTTTCATGCGTCCTGTGATACTCCCATTTTTGTGCCGATTTTTTTTTTTGCCTTTTACCATTGTGGTAACCCGGGTCAATCTTGCCAATGAGATTCCTCTATCCTGGTCCTCTTGAGTTCTCTCCCTGGTTACACAAAATCAACTTGAAACTGGAACCTATGGCTACACACAAACCCTCAATAAGACGGCATGCTTGTTTATGAAAGTCAATTCTCTAAGAGGTTAATGTCATATTCTTTGGGTCTGTCGGTACACAAGCACTTGTGTTGCGATCAAAACGTCGTAGTTTGTTGTTATTTTCTTTGGACCTATCTACGTGACTTTACCGAAAGACCAAAATAATATGAATTCCTGCAGTCATGAAAGCTTTAAGTCAAGACGTATATATGTCACTTGACATGCAAGGCATAATGGGAGGAACAATCCAATGGTCACGATCTCCTGTGTCGCAGTCTATAAATCACCTTGTGTGTAATATGACTCTTGCTCATGTCTCCAGCCTGCACACATTCCGGTCTGCTGAGTTTCGAGTCGATGTCATCACGAACGTTCCGTTCCCGCTCACGACTCACATTTATCCATCACTGCAAGCACGCAAGCCGCACCAATCGGGTACGAGGTGGATAGATTGTAGAAGTTTACAACAACAGCATATATTGAATTTTAGCACACCCATTCACTTCCGCCCAGAGTTTAATTTCAACCTCGAAAATATTTCTGACCCTGGCACGCAACATCCAATATACTGTACCTCTTTCGCTACTGTTGGGGCTGCTAGTCACGTGCCTAACTACGCCGTTCTGCCAGTGCCCTTGAAACTATTCGGTGAGAAATTAATCCCTGCTGCTGTCGCTGCAAGGACCTCTCATAGCGACAGAAGTGGGGTAAAGCGTGCGTGGACGTGTCGCTTCCCGCCATCGGTATTCCCATTCGGCAAGTAACCGGTTCCCCGGGCCTGCCCGAGGCAGCCTGAGGCTCCGTAACGCAGAGACGACGTGACATCGCCATCTCCTCTGCACCGCGACCGCACTCGTGCAGCGAGCTGCAGTTGCCATCTCGATGAGGTGCACAAAAAAACCCGGGACGCATCACGCAATTGAAGGATGTCTCCCAATATCAGACGTGGGGAGAATGGTGTGTAAGTGCGTCGCATTGAGCAGTGTTTTATCACGCAACCGACTGAAAACCGAGAATTTGAACGTTCTGTGGAAGGTCTTCAGATTTCCCCGGACAGCAGCAGCCACCTCAACAGAAGTGATCCGGGGGAAAACCTGGACGGGTGGCAACCCCACACTCCCACACCCCTCCTCGACAGCCAGTGAAAGGAACGCAGGCGAATTGTGAGTCACTGCGTCCTCGGTGCTGGTGCCAGGACACGGCTTCCTCCCGGCCGGCCAGGAGGGGGACGCGGGGTGCTCAAGCGCAGAGCCTCGGAGAAAGCGGCCGTTTACAACGACAACAAAAATGTTCCCACTCGATGATGGACGGCGAGGCGCGCCTCACAGGGTGCCGTGCTCACCCTCGCCTGATTGACATGGGAATGAATTATGCAAAATATAAAGGCCGAGCGAGCTTTTCATCAGCTCTCATAAATATTTCGAGAACATATAAATGTTGCACGCAGACTTTATGCTCGTAACTGTCCGCATTACAACGATGTATCAACGTCGTCTGTTTTGCAGCGTTTGCTTACGCCTGCGCATGTACGTACGGAGGTCTGGCCTCGACATAAACAGAGCGCCGGGTCAACAAAGAATGTGGAAGCTCTTGGAAGTAATCCACGGTAATGACCCTGTCACTCGTCAGCCGTGACTCGTTTGTTACGCGCGGTTTACGACGCATTCACAAATTTGGGAAAAAATCTGTAAAGTTTCCCTGCACTTGTAAATATTCAACGCCGCTCGCAGCTCTGAGATTTGGCAGCCACCCTCCGTGCCCAGCCCCTCTGGTCACCGCCATGCGGGCAGCGAGCAACTGCTCGCACAGGAGGAGGAGGCTTGCCACCTGTCTCAGGAGTGCCCTCTCTTTCAGGTAGCTGTCCTGGGAATGCCGTAAGTCTTCGCGGAAAACTTAGATTATATGTTTGTCAGTTCTATTAAAAAAATACACCACTCAGGAAAATCCATTTACTTGTAGACCTCGCCTGCTCAGATACTGGCAGATCGTTCTTCTTGTCCGTGACATGAGTTTTTTTCTAACTCAGAGGTTTCCATAATTGAGGACCAGACAGGCCTCTCTCAAACACCACAAGTGAGCAGCAGGGCCGGTTCCAGCTCCTCTCGGTACATGAATTTACCGCTAAGGAAAGTTAACTTTTGAATTAAAGCTTTCGTGACTGAAGGGATTCATATTCTTGGTTCTTTCGGTAAAGTCACGTAGAAGGTAAACAATAAAATAATAAAAATATAAAACAATAAAATTATCACGACGTTTCGACACTTGATGATGATTGCTTGTCTTACAGTCGATACGTCGTGATAATTTTATTGTTTTATATTTTTATTATTTTATTGTTTCCCTTCTACGTGACTTTACCGAAAGAACCAAAAATATGAAAGTGAACTTGCTTGGGCCAAAAGGGACATTCGGTGGTGCAGGGCCCACCCCGGCAGCCTGGCGGGCCACCACGTGTGAAGACACAATCTCAGTCACGGCTGTCGCTGCAAACGGCCCTTACAGTGACAGAAGTGACCACGATACGTCTCGGTTCCTTTGTACCCACAGAGGTAGCAGCCACACTCGCGAGCGATAACTCCCCACGGGCACGACGAGCCCGTTGGGGCCCTCAAGTGCGAGCGGTCGCACCGCGGCTCGTTAACCCCGTGGGGGGGGGGGGGGGGCGCAGCGCCGAGGGACCAACCCCTGCGCTGTGGATGAATCATCTTACTTGGGAGGAGTGGGCCGGGGGGTGGGGCGGCAGCCTACGTGGAACCAAGCGAGTGTCCCCCCCTGCCCACGCGCTCGCTGCTTTAATGAACGTGGCTTTGCAGAGGCCGCGTGCAAATTGGTGAGAACGCGATGCTGTGCACACACGATTTAGATGCAAATTCTGATTGAAAACTTTTCCGGCTTAAGGGGCAGGCAGTGTCAGAGTCAAGTCACCGTCACACCGCCGCGATATTACACGTGAGATTAAAGGTGCCGCGAGACAGTTTAGAAGGGGGATTGCAAATCCCGTCGATGGTCGGGCCGGAGCTCGCTCTGCAACACAGCTGTTAACGATGAGTAGTAAATCTCGCAAAATGATGTTTGCAAAGTGCGCAACTATTACATTACGCTGTGCCTGTGCTTGTAATTATGGGATTAGATTTTCCGGAACATTTCAGACCGTGTCACTCTAGTGAGTGCGTGTGTGTGAGCTCGTACGTTTGAGCATACGTGCATCTTAAGCGTGTGCGCGTGGAGCGGTGGCGTTGTGGTCAACGCGCTGCACCAGACACCCACGGGCTACCGTTCGTTGAGAATATCTGAGCTGGTTCCGAGCATCCCCTATGTCGACTCGGCCTTAAATACGTCTTGTTAACATCAGCACTGGGGGGAGACAAAGGCAGCCACGTCAACCCCCCTTGTTGCCGTGCCAGCCTGCTTTGGTGGTCCCTACCGGCTACTTGGCCAACGGTCTGTTGAAGGCTACACGGGGGATCTTTATCTCTGTGTGTGTACATGTCAGTGTGCATGTGAGTGGCTGTATTTTTATGCGTTTCTAGGAATGTATGCGCATTTATATGTAGCAAAGAATGCATGTGTGTGCGTGACTGAGAGTGCTTATGAATGTGTGTGTGGGGAGCGGTAGTGTAGCGGTTAGCGTGCTGGGCTACGAACCCGGCGACCAGAGTTCGATTCCCGCTCACGGCCAACACCAGTGGTGAGTATCTGAACCAGTCCTGGACCTCCCCGAGGCCGACTCAGCCTCAAATGAGTACCTGGTGTGATGTGTAAACATCGCCACTAGGGAGACAAGGGCGGCCACCCATCCCCTCGTGTGCTTTTCCGGCCTTCATAGGTGCTTTCTAACAGCACTTGTCCCAACCGTCTGTTAAGGCTATCTAGGGGATTTTTGTCTTTGTGCTTGCGTGAGAGTGTGTGTGTGTGAACATCACTTGAGCCCAGAGCCCTCCATTCTACAACAGCACCACAAACCGTGAGAACACGGACCGAGAGTAGTTCAGAGTAGCCGCCTCCTCTCAAAGCCATCTGTTCGAGGCGGACACGGGAAAGTGCCGATAAACATTGTGTCGCTGCATGAAACCAGAGGTGGATTGCGAGGGATCCGAGTCGATGACGCTGGTTACACTGTCGCTTGCGTAGCTACCGGAGCATCGCTGGTATTGATCCACCCTTTTCCGTACTAATGGAGCTGGCGTGCGTGAGTGCATGAGCGCAGCACTGACACGCCTGCAAATCTGTCACGGCCACTGACACGCTCTGCACTTCTGCAAGCCAATGCAATCCTTCGTCGGTGCCTGATGATGCAATTTTGTCATCGTCATCAACAAACGCCTAAAAAAATGCGGCCATGAAATGAAGTGCTGCGCATCCTCACAATATTTATACGCAACGGTTCAATGGTTATTTAAAACATGCTGACATACCGTCCCCTATGAAGCTCAATGTATGGCAGAACAACAACATCCTCTTGACTTTATCTCGGTGTGAACGACGGCTAATTGGAACGAGAAATCGGCCATTGCTCATCGAGAACCGTTTGACTTTCAGCTTCGTAAAAAATCGGCACCAGAGGCGGAACAAAAACATCAAAGGGCTTCATGTTGTGTTTTGCCGTCGCGTGCGGCCAACGATTTAACAGGATTCCCTGCAGATCATGCGGAGCAAGCAGAGTGTGCAGAACAGAGTAGGGGCCGTGGATGAACGTAAACGGAATGCCCGTGAGACGCTATTCTTCTCCTCGGTCAATCGTTCCCACTCTTGCGTGCGCTCGGCTGCTCAGATTTTTCTTTCTCCGTGAACTTCTTCTGTTGTGTGCCACTCCTCCAGCCCTCTCCACTACGCTCGCATCTCGTTTCACTGCATCCTCCCATCCCAGCCTCGGTCTCGGCCCTCCGCTCCTCATGGACTACACAACTGGCACCCTCATCTCGACATACGCTATGAACATGTGTAAATGCACATGTGCGCACGTTGTCCATACGTCGATGTTCACGGGTAGCAGTGGTGAGCGTACCGCGCCACAAACCTTGCAAACCCGAGTTCAATTACCGCTTGCGGCCAACATCGGTGATAAACATCTGAGATGGTTATGGGCCTCCCTTAGTTTGAAGCACCGAGCACGGTGTGTAAACATTATGTCTGGGGAGACAAGAGTGGCCCCAACGTGACACGCGGGGGATCGGTGTCTTGAACTGTGTGTGTGCGGCGCGTATCCTCACAGGCAGTGCACGAGCGTGCGGCCCTCCTCCTCGGCCAGCTGGTCCTGCCAGGCCCCGACGCGGCCCACCAGGCGCAGGAAGGAGGCGGGCGAGGTGGGCACGTCGCGGTGCGACGGCCAGCCCAGGTACTGGAAGTGTTGCACCTCGCGGTGCCCGTCCTGCGGCTGGGGCGACAGCGGAGACCGTTAGGCGACAGCCAACCACAAAGCTCCCTGCGACGAGCGGGAAGGTCGTCTGACGAAGCAAGCGTCACAGTCGGCCGCGGTCGATCGACCGCCAGGCGAAGTCCAACAAACAGACCGTTGGGGCGAGCACCTATGAAGGCCGGAACGGCACACGAAGGGGTGGGTGGCCAGCACCACGCACGGCCGCTATTGTTTCCCCCGTGGCAACGTTTTTACACATCGCACTAGGTACTCATTTGAGGCCGAGTCAACCTAGGGGAGGCCCAGGACCGGTTCAAATAATCGTCACTGGTGTTGGCTGTGAGCAGGAATCGAACTCGGGTTGCCTGGTTCATAGCGCAGCGCGCTAACCACGACACCACCGCTCCCCACAAGTCCAACATACGTACGTGATGCTCGACCCATTTTAAAATGTTTCCCAACATAATGAATTAACATTTGGATAATTACTCCAAACGAGTGAGTATATTGACCTCTATATAACCAGCAGTAATAATAATGATGCCAACGACATAACACTGTTTGCAGTTGTGCGCAATTCGTTTATTGCACACACACACATGCGCGCGTGCGGTAAACAGCTTGACTATTCACGGCTCCGCCGTCAGATTTAACGAGACATTTTAGAGGTCAGAGGCAACCAGCGGAGCTGTCGCCAACCCTGGCCCAGGCGCCATCGCATGCATATGTGGGAAATGGCAAGCGCTTTCTCAGTCGCTGAGCTGCTACAGATGACAAGAGCGGCTTCAATAAATAAAAACTCATTTCCAGGATGGCGACGCTGAAGCGTTGAGAGCACACGAATATAAAAATAAAATATATATATATACACGTCAAACTTTATTTTTTATTTTTTGCCCTGGCCACACAAATGTTAGAATGTCACTCAGGACCGATTTGAAATTGTAGCTGCTGAATAAATAAGACTTGCAATGTTAGATTAGATGCGAATGGCAAGTTGGCTTTGAACGCCGTGCATTCAAAGTAAAAGAAAAAATATTCCTGTAAGTGGCAGGAGTCACCAGCGTGAGACTCAAAAGGAAATAAATTATGGAAAATTTCACCTTCGGAGCAAGATTAAGCAATCGCATTACCGTCTGCGTAATTGACAACGAACAGTGAGTGCATTGTCAGATTTAACGACCCTGAAATTAATAACTGTGCGCTCTCCCCCCTCCCCATATGATTAGCAAAATTGCTCCCGGTTCCTAAAAATAAAATACAAAACATGCCACTTTCTCGAACCGAATTCACAAACAAAGCACACAGACGGAAAAATAGCGCGAGCATCTCATGAAGTGTCATCATCGCCCCCCCCCCCCTGGTCCCATTGCACGTCGCGGGCTCGCCGGCGTTCGCCCGGGGCGTGGTCCCGTCGCATTTACCCTGGAGACGTTGCAGATGCGGAATATCCGCGAGATGATGTCCACGTCCTTGCAAGCGGACAGGATCTCCACCTGCACGGGGCCGTACTGCAGCATTCCCTCCTCGGGCCAGTACTGCGGGAAAGTCTGTCGGCAGAGAAACAGCCCCCTCTTAGGCAAGCGGCGGTGCCGGGCACGGGACAAAGCAAAGCAAAAGGGCAGGGTTCTGAAGGAAGTCGAGGACCTTCGCATATGTAAAAAAATCGGGATGTACAAAATATCAGCTAAACATCAAATCCTAATGAACATAACGAGATCATCAACATGCAACCCCAATCGATCTGTTAACTCTCTTGTCTGATTATCTATTCTCTCATCTTACTACATCTCTGTTGTTGTCTATATTTCTCTCGTCTCGGTAGATATCCACGTCTCCCCTGTGTATCTCTTCTGTCACCCCACTAGGAATTTATTAATTGAAAAGGAGGAGCCCTGAAAAAAAATGTTTCTGCTTAGGGCCTCCATTGGGCCGGCTCCAGCACTGCGGTTACAGCGTCGAGCGGAATACGCCAGTGACAGATATTAGAGCTGTCTGCTCATTCAAAACACAGCTTTCCGGGGGAACTCAGGTCCCAGTAAAAAAAAAAGTCAATTTCAGCCACAACTCTTTGGGGGATTATTTATTTTTCTTCCACAGAATATATTACAATATACACGGGGCAGGCCAGGAGACAATTAGTCGCCAGATGGGATCGGCGCCCTGTGGAATTGGTCGCGGTGGTTAGCGGCAACCCAGGGCTCAGGGCGGTGTCATCTCTGCAGCGCCAGGGGGGATGGGAGACGCGGGGCAACGCGCAGTGGCGACAGATAACAAATAAAAAGTTAAAATCTCGCAGTCCTCCGGAATTGACGGTGCAGCACTTGCGCTGTACCAGCACCGGTGATACCAATTACCCACGCGCCACCACGCTCCGCGCTGAACCCTTCGCGTGTGCTCTATGGCAGGTGGCAGTGTTGGAACACACATTGTCAATTGCCTGTCCAAACCGTTTCTCTTCCTGCCAGGCTCTACAATTACGATAAAATGTGGGTTTAAGCAGGATTTAAACACGGCCACGTCTCAAAGCGCCATGCGGAAACAGCACGTGCGTGCAGTGTTCAGAGAGCAGTGACAGTTGCAGCAGCAAAGCAAGATCTTGAGACGGGACGTGACTCGGCGCGTGGCGTGGACATCACGTACGGCTGGGGGGAGAGAGAGTTCCTGACCGCGGGGCCCATCAGCGGGGAATGAGCGACCTCACACTGAGTGGCGGTTGCCTCGGGACTTCAACAGAACGCCTTGGTTGCTGGAGCGGAACGTGCGGGAAGGGGAGCAGAGTGAACCGAGAGTGGTGAGGTGGACGGGCGAGTCCACAGAAGATCTTTAAAGGTGGGGAGTGTGATCTTGAAAGTAATCCTGGCCTGGGTTGGGAGCCAGCGGAGCAATCAGAGTATTGGGGTCCTGCAAACTTTGTGAATATTATTAATGATGTCGCTTATCCATCATATAGTTTTTTTTTAATTAGATCATGTAAATATATAAATGTGTCGTTAAAACCCGCCACCACCCGACACAGCCAACTAGTAAGGGTTGTCACGTAAACCACCATCACCCCACACAGAAATTTGCTCTTATCAAGACGCTCATTCATCGAGCTAAGAAAGTGTCAGATGGTGACAGTCTGAGACATGAAATTCAACATGTTAAAGAAGCGCTGCAAATTAACGGTTGCAATGATGCACAAATCAACAGAGCATTGAATGCCAAATCCAAATCAAATAACACGAGCATTGAAACTGCCCAAGTAATTAAAACGATCAAAATACCATACATTGCGGGAGTAACTGATAAACTCGCCAGATGTTTGAAAATACAAAACATCCGAGTCAGATTTGGCACGGTACATAAAATACAGAATCTAATATTCGGTACAAAAGATGTGTTACCGAAGCTATCAACAGAAGGTGTGTATAGAATTAACTGCACGAGTGGTAAATGTTATGTTGGGCAAACAGGACGAATGATCAGCACGAGACTAAAAGAACATCAGAGAAATATAAAATTCTCACAAATGCAACTGTCAGCAGTACCAGACCACACGTGCCAACAAGGACACTCAATTGATTTTGATGTTGAAGTTCTGTGCCACACGAGCTACTCCTGGCCAAGACTAATTAGAGAATCGATCGAAATTGAAAGAAATCAAAATAACTTTAACCGTTCGCGTAGCTACCGCCTTAGTGCTGCATGGATGTGAATCATCAAATAATACATTATTTAAATGCATGCCTACAAAGGGCAGCATACTTCAATAGGGATTAACGTTGGTAGGGCTATTTTAATAAACACAATAGACAGGAAGGACAAGTTTTAAAGGCTCGCATAATGCACATGCATAATGTACGTTGCCTCAGTAATCACTCCCCCCCCCCCCCCCCACATTGTGCAAGAGCGCAGAAGGGTGGTCACCACATCTACGCCTCGATATAAGGAACGAAACAGTAAGACTTCTCCACAAATCTGGCTATTGCCTGATGAAGCTAGTTGTAATTACTGGCGAAACGTCGTACTCAGTTCGTAAATGTTGTGGCTTGGCTCTCCCACACACCGGTGTGCTGCTGCACTAGTGACGAATTGGCATGTTATGTTCACGTGACAACCCTTACTAGTTGGCTGTGTCGGTGGTGGCGGTTTAAATGACACAGCATTTATATATGTATGCGATCTAACCCCAAAAACCTCTATTATGGATTATATTGATATTGGTCGTGAAAGCCTCCTGCCACTTGTCAAAGTGATGTCGTTTATTTAGACAGCCTCCCCAGCCTCCTTCCAGGAGGGTGCTGCATCAGAGTGTGTGGCCGGTGCCATTCAATTCCTTGTTAAATATTTTGCATGCCAAAATGAATTGTGTGTCAGGAGAAGCCCAGCATGCAGATGAGGGGGTTTCCAATCACAATTCCGCAGAGGCAGGTTCGCGAGCCCACGCGCCGTACCGCAAACTCCTTGGCCACGTCACAGCCCAGCGGGAGGGTTGGGAGTTTCACAAATCTGCGTGGCGGCGAACGATCCTCGCCTGCCAATTGCAGGGGATCAGAGAGGCGAGGGCCAGGGCACCCGGGCTCGCTCTGCCACCCGCTACACAAATGAGCACTGCGAGGGGATAAAAGCAGAATTTCCTCGCAGGCGCGACCATGGATGAAGGCCGATGGTGAACTCCGAGTCGTCGTGGTTACAAGCCGGGGAAGGGACCCAACTCCTCGCGCCGCTAGCGGCCACACACTCCGTCATCTCCAGCACCGATGCCTTCGGAACGCGGTGTAATTATCGTTTGTCATCGATTTCTTGAAATTTGTCTTTCCAGCCTGCCTTGACAAACAAGTTCGGAGGCATCCCTGATAGAAGTCTCTATCTGACCGTGCGGTGTTATTTGTATGTAGAGATTCACTTAATAGAGCTGATAAGAGGTACGTTTGCTCAGACATCCTCGTGCTAAGATGAACACATGTTATCCTCTCAGTCTTTGATAGTAAAACAGTGAAATTATTCTGCAAAACCCAAGCATTGCCAAGCCACACGAACGTATCCCTTATTGCTTAGGTTTGTAATTCATAGCGTTTGATGTTTTAGAAGGGAGGGTTTGTCGAGACTGAAGTAAAAACAAATGTTAATTCTTTGAAATTATACAAAAAAAATGTACAACCCTCTCTCAATCTACTGCTGGATGAAGGCCTTCCCACGCCACGTATTAAACCTCACCACACTGCTCACTGGGGGGCGGTGAAGGGGAGTCCAGATACAACTCACCACTGATGTCAGCCCTGGCCGGGAATCAAACTCGTCGGTTCGTACTACAGTGCTAACCACTGCACCACCCCTCTACAAAATTATTATGATATGACACAAACGTATTAAATTTAATTAATATTCAGTTTATCTTCTTGGTTCTTTCGGTAAAGTCACATAAAATGGAAATAATAAATAAATAAAAATAAAACATAATTATATTATTTTATTATAACTATTTTATAATGTTAAATTTTTATTATTTTATTATTTCCATTCTACGTCACTTTACCGAAAGAACCAAGAAGATGAATCCCTGCAGTCACGAAAGCTTTAAATCGAAATTTAATATTCAGTTTGTTGTGTTTCGGAACAAATCAGCAGCAGCAGCAGCAGGGCTCTCTCAAGGTGTGGGCAATGCCAGGAGGAGGAGGAGGAGGCGGAAGGAACGTGAGTGAGGCCCGGCCACCGAATGTGTGTTGAACAAGCGCCGCTGTTGGACTGAAGCCCACCGCCATCGCGCTGCTCTCCCGCGCTCACGCACGGCAGCACGGATGCGCCCGGTGGCATTTGAGTCAACGTGATGAACAACCCGCCGTTTCCCCCCCTCGGGCGCTCACATTTGAAGAATAAAGCTGTTACCAGGAGGCCACCAAGAGTTAACTGTGAGCTTAAAAAATTAAGCGGTAAAGGTGCAGCCCTGCAATTGCTCGCTCGTGCCGCTGCTGGTGGAACGGCCTCTGCTAGAGGGTATTTATACCCTCCAGAGGGTATTTTTGGCCTCCTCTTTCGCAAAGTTCGGACGTCTTGGAAGAGTTGGGAGGAGTACCCACACTTTACCCTACTATGCGTGACCCGCCGATTGATAACCTGTAGCGCACCCGTGTACACCGCTGGGTGGACAGAGGCTGGAGGATTTAAGAAACTTGCGCCATTTGTTTAAATTCCCATGCGAGGAAGACGAGTCGAAGCGGCGACTCCGAGGGTGCGCGAGTCCACAGTGCGCCGACCGCTCCGCTGTGGCGGTGTCCCAACTCGAGGCAACCGGATGGGAGCGTCCGTCGCCCGCATTTACTGCCGACGTGGGGACAGGGCCCGTTGGCGTTCTCATCCCATAAACAAAATAATCTCGCTTCTGTCGCGCTCTAAGATTAACGACGCGGCCACTGATGAGCGAGCGGGTGTTGCAAATAGAAAACGTGTTTCTGGGGAAAGGTCTGGGGTGGGGCGGGGCGGGGGGGGGGTGGAAGCTGCGAGTGCACGGGCAGCGTGCTGGGGGGCACCGTCGTCGTCGCTCCGCCGGGGAGGAGGATGGCGGACGGAACCCCTTGCAGTGAGGCCGGGGCTCTCCGGTTCGGTTCTACCTCCTGGCGCGGCAGGTCAAATAATGATGCAGCTTTATTAAACCACCCCCCTGCACCCCCCACTCAGCAGTGTAAATGGGTGCCACCCACTGTTAGTTGATTGGCGGGCCATGTGTGGTGGGGTACAGCGTGGTGGGTGACTCCCAACTCTTCCAGGAGGTCTGGCCACCACAGAAGAGTAGGCCAAGTGTCACGAGCCACATTGGGAAAATTCGAAAATGACACCGCGAGTTACTCAATTGGGATTACACCGCAGCAGTCATCGCCCCCTGCAGGCAGACCGGTTGCCTCGGTCACTCTGGCAAATGAGGCCATCCTGGCCTCGCGACTTCTCACCTGGTGTGGAGAAATACACGTGAAACTTGAACCCTTTCAAAGGGGCTTCTTTTAACAGAGCTCATTCGAGTGGATTCTACCAGTAGCGGCACAAGCAGGAAATTGCAGGGCTTCACCTTTACCATGGTAAGCAGTGGTGAGCAGTAAAAAAGCGCAGTGAGGAGGGGGCGGGGAGAGGGGAGCAGCGTTTCTCCGGGAGTGATGGCTGCAGCGCTGCCCCCACCTCTGGCCATGCCCTGGGTGCAATCGTGTTACCGAGTGTGCGCTTTGGCATTCTGCTGGCCTGCCGTGGTGTCAGCACATTCACGTAGCGTGGCCTCGAGCCTCCGAGCTGATTGCATGATTTCTCTTCTCTTTGGATGCACAACCTACCCCCCCATTGTGGCCACTTTACCTCCCTGCCGTTAGACCAATCTTGAACCGTAATGCCTTCATCTGGCGCCCCAGCCAATTAAGCATCGTTAAGCACATTCCGGGCCTGCCTGGAGATTGGCGTGAGCTCGTAACTCAGGGGAGATTTAAAAACCTCTCCCCGCGTATATCGGGCTCATTTCCAAAGCGAGCGCTGCCAGCAGCATCCGGCTCCAGAGCCACAGCTCCTGTCACGCACCGCTCTTCACGCGCCCTTTGCTGCGCGGGATCTCGCGCGTTTGTGCCGCTGCGCTTTTGTTTTCAGGTCGTGCCACGTGTTGTCGTAAAAAGATGCCCGACGTTTCGCTCTGCGGTCACGTGGTTGGCCTGCTCGGGTTACTGATTTTGTTTGATTTTCCGTGTCATGTTTCAGTTCCCCCCCCCCCCCCCACTTGTTACTGTGGTGACCCAGGTCACCTTTGCAAATGAGAAACAATATCCTGGTTTCTGAGAATTCTCACGTGGTTTAAGAAATAAAATAAAAACTGGAGGAACTTCATCAGGAACCCAATATGGAATTCACTTTCAGCACGTAAAGTCAAATGTTGGACATTGTGCTCGACAACAAACGGCACGATTTGAAAATATGCGGCAGAGGGCTACCAGGGAATGTCTCACTCTGCCAGGGCCCCTCTCACTCTGCCAGGAGGGCTACCCGGGGCCTCTCAGTCCACATGGTGTCATCATGCACAGCCATGAGGGTCCTGCGTAGATCGTTCATTCAGCTGCGAGATCACCAGAGTTTGTCTCCGGACACAAACGCACGACGAGTGACTACAGTGCATCTCATTTGAAGCCTCTTGCGATCGCATAATCAACTTCTCCTTGCACTAGCGCTCTAATATTTGAGGCTACAGAAGCCAAATGAAAAAGTAAGTGAATTTACAGTAAACAAATAATATAGCGAATTTTTAAACACGCACGCAGATATTGCAAATATCGCTCTCATCGCTAAAGCGATTAACCAGGAGGGCAGAAGCTGTATACAAGCACGCCCCTAAGGAGCAAGGGCCATGTGTGCTTATATCCACGGTCGTGTGCTTGTATCAGAAGTCGCCCTTCGCCTTGCACATCAGCGTCATGTAAGCGTTGTGTCGCCTCTATGAGAGTTGTGCCTACATGAGGTGTGCTTGTATCTTGGCCTCTAGCTCGCTCTGTTAACTCACCACGCCGGTGACGGCGCGGGATTGGTCAAACCGCGTCCTATTTTACCTTACCACGGTGAGTCGCAAGCCAGGTAACAGAATCAGCATGTGTATGTATACTGGAGGAATCCCATGAGCGATAACGATCAGTAGGGGTGGGTCAGAACGCTACAACAACAAACAATACAGAAACACAATAGGAGTGCAAAGTAGAGGAAGCGTAAGACAATCACTTGGAAAAAATAAAAATACAGATAAATCTAAACTATTTCTATTTGACCAGGTAAATCCCACTGAGATATTAGCTTGTTTTTCAGAAACAACTTGGCCACAAATAGCTCAGCTAAGTGGCTTATCACGTGGAAATTTATGGCAGCCAAATAATTTATAAGGCATGTTTCAAATGTTTCAATTGCGCGCGTTGTACGTAGGCGAGAGGCTTTCAAGTAGCGTCGAGTTTGACAGTGGGGGGCAGGTGGGGGGGTATGGGGGGCAGGTGGGAGGGGTATGGGGGGCAGATGGGGGGGTGTGGGGGGCAGGTGGGGGGGGTATGGGGGGCAGGTAGGAGGGGAATGGGGGGCGGGTGGGGGGGTATGGGGGGCAGGAGGGGGGGGAGCCCACAGATGCGGTGCCGTCGTTCACGATGCTACTCGGAATAATGGCAGGAAGCAGTGTCGGAGCCGGATAATTAATGAACGCATTAGAAAGCAATTAGCGGCGGGATCTATTATAGAAACAGCAGCTCAGGACAGATTAATGGTATCGACACATTTGCGGAATGGGTGAAGAAAGACTTCCCGGGATTAGAAGAGGCTAGTAAGTGATCAGCAGGGAATCCAGGCGTGGATAGAGGGCATTAGTGCAATTGTTAAATACGCTGCGGTGAACCGAACGGCTCGATAGGGAACTTGAGAGCAGAGGGTTCCATGGGAATGACGATCCCCCCACTGGAAGGGCGCAATGCAATGCAAACGTTTGGGATTGCCAGGGTGTGGCGGGACATTGTGTGGCTATCACAGCCTCGCCGTGCACCCGGGGACTGAGTAACGTGGACGATGGCAGCTCTGGTGGTGGTTCTGTGATATATGTCAATGATGGCGGCGTGCAGAAAGAATGTGATGATGATGATGATAATGAGAAAGATGACACAGATATGGATGATCAGGATGCCACCTTGAATGACGGTGATGAGAGCAACCCTGGTGATCTTCATTCAATCACATTCATCATCATTATCAGCCTTGCTATGTTGGTCATGGGGGTTGTTTGACCATACTACACCATGCTGGTCAGTGCGGATTTCTTGAAGGGGCTGGGAGGGCTTTGAACTGGTTAAGTATTTACATTTTACTCGCCACTGATATTAGCCGTGACCAGAAATCAAACTCAAGTAGCTGGGTTCATAACGCGATATGCTAACCGATGCGTCACCACTCCCTCCCCCAAGCGCCCACATTAACATCATCTTCAAACTTACATTTTCAAGATGAACTTGTGTTTAATGTAAATTCTCACCATATTAAACGATCAATCACTGGCCGCGGCAGGATTTGGCGAAATCGGTTTAGTGTCCGTCACAGGGAGATATTGTGGACGCCCCGCAGCAGATAAACACATCTCGCGAACGAGGCCACGGGGGCCTCAGGGGGGTTCGCCCCTCCCTCGTACGCAACGCCACCGGTGCCCCGGGCCAGAGATAATCCCGGGGGTTTTGCGGGTTGGAGACACGGTGACACGCCTCGCGAAATAAGGTAATGGAGAACGAATGGTAACAAAGGTGCAGCCCTGCAATTGCTCGCTCGTGCCACTGGCGCCAGCATCGGCCCGCCGACACAACCGAGCCACGACTGAGCCACGACCGAGCCACGACCGAGCCACAACCGAGCAGCAACCAAGCCACGACCGAGCCACGACCGAGCGTTACCTCGCTGGCGTTGAGCTCATTGAGCACGATGACCGAGGTGCAGCGATAGTCGAACACGAGGCGCCAGAAGTCCTTGACGGTGTTGGGCAGCGGGTGCTGCGTCACGATGAACGCCGACGGGCGGTGGTAGCTCTGCGACAGGTCAAACAGGACGAGCGGGGGGGCACAGACGGGAGGATGTTACAAACTTGTAGCCTTGTTTTCAACTGCCGTGCCGGGAAATCGCATCGAACCGGCGACCTCTGGATTGCAAGCCCACGATGCTAACCATTGCACCGCGGCAGCTTCCCTCCCAGGAAAGTGCCTAAATTAGTAATATGAGTAAATAAATTAAATGGTAGGAAACCGAGGAAATGTCAATGAACTCTCATAGGCTCAGTCTCAAAGTATGCAAATACATTTTTGAATTAAACAGTTGTAGATGCATACAGATGGCATGCTTATTAATAATGATTTTGGATTCAAGAGATATTCTAAACATGTGACGTTCCCGTATGATGATAAATACTCTTCTACACAACCTGTTCTATTTGTGTCTCACGGCACACATCTGGTGGCTCAGTGGTGGCGTCATGGTTCGCGCACCTGCGCTACGAAGTGAGCGCCCTACGCCAGACTCCCGGCCACGGCTATGCCAGTGGAAAAAGATATCTGAACTAGGAGATCAAGTGAACATAGGAGTACAGCGCAACAACGGACTTCGTTACACTACCAGCACAACGACGTAATGCCACAGCATATAAAGTCTGTTGTGTATCCCAGTTAACCAATCATATAAAGTCTGTTGTGTATCACAGTTAACCCATCGGTTACGATCCAGGCTCAACGCTGCTTAGCTTCTGAGATCTGATGAGATGGGGCACATTCCAGATGGATTGGTCACCGGCTACACGTACATCGCTCCGTGCCAGGTTAACGATCTTCGCCATCGGAGCTCACGAGCTGACAAGCACGCATTTATGGCTTCCTCAGAAATCCCATGAATAAATCCTCCACGTGGAATTGATGTTCACTGCAGCAGAGACATATATTTGTCCAATACAGAGATACATCTTTAGGGTCTCACGAAAAACGCCGTGGAAGAGTAGGCCTAATACAGCCAGGAGGCACTGCTCTCCAGAGCCTTCTCCTCTTGCGGAGGCCGCTCCCAAGGCAGCGGCGTGAGGAATCAATTCCAGGGCTGCACTTTTCCTTTTAGTTATTCATGAAAAAAGTCATTACAATTTTCTCGGGCTTTTATGGCGAGTTCTACAATGTTACGGCAAGTTTGTTCTTTGGAACAAAACTGCAATGAGGCACTCTTACTGCGCGCGAGAAATAAACACTGATGCGCCTTCGGACTTCGGAGAAATCAATGCATTTATCGCAACAATTGCAACATATATGTTTTTGCAGCTGCATTCCATGAAACATTTACTTATCCATCGTGGTCAAACGGTGAACACACCGGGTTAGCAACATCCCGATGCGTTCTACTTGGCACTTCGTACCGTCTTTGAGCCCCGCCCCCCTCCCTCCCGATACGTTCCATTCATTGGCTACCACATTCTGATGAGCTCCCCCCCCCCTCTCCTCCCCCCTCAACTTGCTTTTAAGGGATTACATCTTGAATCATTGCCTCACTTGATGCAGCAAATCTGGCTGTGACGGTTCCACCTGATGACGGAGACTTGTGTTGCCTCCGAAACGTCGTGATTTTTATTTTTATTTTATTTTACTTTTATTAATTTTAATGTTTTACCTACGTGACTTTACCGAAAACACCTAAGAATAGTACAAATGGTCGCTTCGTGGTGGGGTACAGTGTGGGTATTCCCACCTCTTCCAAGACGGGGATGGTCAGGCCACAACAAAGTGGAAGCTCCTCTCCCATCAGGCTACAACTCGAGTGGAAGCCCTTCTGCCAACAGTGGCATGAGCAAATAATTGCAGCGCTGCACCTTTACATTACATATGTCGATTACTTTCATGCAGCCCGGTTTGGATTGTAAAAGGTCCCTGGTTTCTACTTTAGTGATATCGCCTCTTTGCCGAGCCTGGGAATTCATTCATGGCACAGCGGGGGCTCTTTTGGGGATTTTTTCTTTTTTATTTGCAGCCGAGCAAAATACGCGGGCTTTGACAGTGAGCCGCATGCTCGCCGAGTTGGCATTTTGCGCATACATATGAATGTCTTTATCGTCGTCATCACGGATCACGCACAGTGTATCCACTGCTGGGTGAAGGTCTTCCCGAGCCGCCAATTCGCACGAGCTGATGTCACCGCTCCCTCTACGCGGGGTACATCCTCTCGGGTGTGATCTCTCCCTTGGCTGCTACTTCGTCTTTAGTCTCAGCCACTGGCCATCATCACCCCGTCTCGCGACGTGTCCTGCCCAAGTCACTATGATGCCTCTAACTCGCCTATACTCTCTAATCCTTGCATTCCTTTTTCCTGTCGCTCAGTGTAATTCTAAGCATGCACCTCTCCACACTTGCAATGTCCATATTTCCGATCTATATGTCGCAGCAGGCGATACGGACTGATCGGGTACATAAACCTCTTTGAAAATCTCTGTCAGTCCTTTGAGAATGTCTAACAATTCATTCTGCTAATCATCCAATCATAATGATAATGTCTCCTTGTAGTCCCAGATTCAAATTAACTTTGAATTTTCATTGAAAGAAATTTATTAACGAGAGTTTTTTTTTATATTAGAACCTGTGACATGCAGGGTTAATTAGTAATTGTCAGCACCAACCGACTCGTGCAGATTTTCCCACTCAATCACACTATTCGAGAAACTATTTGCCCCTGTTGTTATCCATGGCCAGCATTCACACTGAGCGAAAGTGGGATTGTAACACAGCGCACTAACCAGTGCCATGGCTGCCCCCATCTCCACACCACACTACACACACCGCACGGGTCTGCCTGTTAAAATATTCCTAAGGCCAGAGATTGAACCCGGTTCAAGGGCGATGAGATCGCAATGCCAAAACCAGCGCGCCACCACCACCCCTACTCCACACACACGGCACGCATCTGCGTGTTAACATATTGCCCTGGCCATCCCGGTGTCTGAAGGGGACATGCTGAACACATGTTCAGGGACCACTGTTTGCTGCCATTAGCTGTCCACTAAGTTGATGAACCCCCCCTCCCCCCCCACCAAAGGACAAAATACACTCACGCAACCTTTCCTTTCTGAGCCAAACGGCCCAATGACTAAATGACTAAAGATTACGGAGACGGGACGGCACCAGACGGTGCAGAGCGCATCGCTCAAACGGGCAGCAGGCAAACACAGCAATCTCCGACACGGCACGAGCGATACGCTCGGTGTGAGGGGCGAGGACAAGGGTCAGCGCCGGAGTTGGTGTTTGACTTGGCGATAATTACGGTTACGGTCGAGAGATTCCCACAAATAAAATATATAAAAGCCCCTCCCCAGACCTTCACGTTCGTCGGCTCTCACTCTGGATGATGAACGCGCCACGTCCTCCACGGCATTCGATACAAATCGTCTAACGGCAAGGGTCGCGACTCCGAACCCAGGGGGTGCCGAGCCTCGTCAAGGCCGCGGCGGCGCGTTCGGAGACGGGCCGCGTCGGCCGCGGCCGTCAGTTCCTACGACGGCGCCGTCGCCCCGCTCGACCTCGGCGTTCCAGCGACCCCCGACCCGGAGCGGCCGCTCGGCCGACGGCAGCGGCGCTCGCCACCGCAGAGCGGCGGCGGGCGTGGGTTAGTGACGTCGCACGCGCCCGCTGGCCGAGTGGCTCCACACCCACAAGTCCAATGTCGTGGATGCCTCGACTCAGCATTGTATAATGAAGGAATGGTTACACCAAACGAGGAACCTGCACGTGGCACACAGTTTGCCTCCTGGGTCGACTTCCCCTGAGCTGGCAGAAGGTCGTGGGTCATATGCATCGGGCATCGAGAACTCTCACTGCATTCTAATGTGACCTCCGACGTGACACCCAACGTCCTTTGTGGTTGTTCTATACACGACCTGATCGCCCAGCACAACAATAACAAATCATGCACTCACGGGCAAATAGCGCATTCTCCAACTATTACTCAGCTTCTCTGGCACCTCCATCGATTGCTACAGAGGAAGGCCCAACACCTGAAACGTCGTTCATTATCTTTTTTTCCCCTTTAGGGCCAGAGTTGTGTTATTGACGAATGTGTTGGGTTTTCAGCATGGACGACCCCAGGCTAGCCCGGCGCCAGTATGGGTGGGGGGGGGATCAGTGCGGCGCTCACGTCCATGAGGGCGGCGTTGATGTAGTTGCTGCTGTCTCCGTCCAGCGTGAGCAGGAAGGGCAGGCAGCGGTCCGGTGGCAGCGTCTCCTTGTGCCGATTCTTGGTGTTGTTGCGGGGCAGCAGCGCGATGCTGCAGTCCTCCACGCGCAGCGCCGGAGTCACCGTGTTCAGCGTCTGAGCGCCGACATTCCGCAAGCGGAGCGTCATTAAAAACCCACACGGCCGCCGAAATCGGAGGTCAGAATGCCGAGGCACCACCGCTGAGAGCCTGGGTTAAAATCCAGGTTTCAGCCGCCTGTGATTAAACCGGGTTCTCACGTGTTGTGAGCCGATGGTCTCGGCCCAGCCACCAATGACTGCACGTAAAAAAACACCACATTAAATTTGGTTTTGGCACCTAATTTGGCTAAATTCCTGCTCTGAGGATTAAAATATCAGCCCAAATGTCATATGACAAACATTCCTCTCATGCACAGAGTGGCTGGAAAAGAACTTCCAGCCTACTGTGTGGACCAAAAGTCACAACTTTCCTGCTAGAGTTCCAAACGTACACTTAAATTTCGGGATGTACAATTGAAATACTATTGTCGTGAAAGAAAGAAAAAAACGGAACAGGTGTTATTTGTCGCAGGAATGTTTTCTTTTTGCTTTGGACATGATGATTACGAGGTCATTTTATTACCAGATGATCTTGTAAGGCCACGCAGGTAAAATTCAAAACCTAACGTGAAGTGGCGGCAATACAGAGCCAACTTTTACTGTGGATAAAGCAAATATTGCATATTTACGAAGAGATATCATATTTTCCTATAAAAATTCATACCGTATTTATTATTTCAAACCAACACACCTTAAAAAAACAATGAAGAACGCGGTTTATGATCAATTATGCATCGGAGATGTCGCAGCGGAGATCGCATTACCAGGAACTCCTCCTTGATCTGATTGGTGTGCGTTTGGGGGTCCAGTCTCGCCAGGTCGTAATACACGGAGCGGAACTCTGCGGCAGGGACCGCGGTGTCCCCGCACAGGCAGGCCTCCAGGATGACGTCGTGGATGAACACGTACTGCTCCTGCCCGTCGCATTCACACGACGAAACGAGCATTCACTCCCGGGGCATTGCTCGAGATTGCTTTGCTGCCCCGCTCTTCATTTACATGATTTTCTCTCCAATCCCCCGCAAGCCGGTTTGATTCGATCTCCAGGCGCGACAGGTGAAGCAATGGGGAGAGTTTCTTAAATGACCACCACCCCCCCCCCCCCCCCCAGCAGCATAAATGGGTTCACTACGTTAAGTCGATCGGAAGGTTTGCGTGCGGTGGGATAAAGCGTTGGTGACTCCAACCCCTGCGTAGGGGAGTAGGCCACATACCCTCTGCAGTCTCTCTCTCGTGGAGGGCCTTCTGCCAGCAACAAGCAATTTCAGGGCTGCTTTTACCACGTCCAGGGACCAGATTAAAACACCGCAGACTGTTGTAAAAAAGTGAACTTGGCTGTGTGTGATTGCTGAGACATGCCGGGAATCTCTCATAAAAACCATACAGCCGTCCACATTATCATACATTCAAGTTGTTCATCTGCGAGTCAGTCTGTAAGCCATGTCACTCGAATAAATATCATGCCAGAGAGTCTAGTAAGGGCTCCTTTACGTCCTAAAGGAACCAGGGACCTATGGTATGGATTAATCAGCAGTAGCAGCAGCAGCCACCATTGCCATCTCTCATGATCGTGCGATACAATAATCGCACGGAGCACCTGCAAACGGGCTGATTTCATCACTCCATCCCTGGTGTGAATCCACCGATGTTATTGATTATAAGCTAGGATAGACTTTGATCTGGATACAAAAAAAACCCACGACTGCGCTGTAATTACATGTTGGTCTCTCTCGATGCGTTCAGCACAAAGTTCAACGGAATAGAGTTCACAATGCAGTTTCATTAAGAAGATTAGCTTGACACGGGCCCGTACCAGCCTGGGTGCATACTGCACGGGTCGACTCCGCAATACAGAGCAAGCGTGCAGCACGCAGCCCACGCTGGAGCACAGGTCACGCCACCGCTCGTGACGCCACGGCCGCTCACCACGCAGCCTCAGTCAGGCACCGCCACGCGACAACAGACCCGCCATGTGCTATTGTTATTCTTACTGGGGTGGAGTGGTGGTACAGTGGTTGGCGTACTTCGCTATAAACCCCATGACCTGAGTTAGACTCCTGGCTACAGCTAACATCAGTGGTCGAGTGACATCCGAACCAGTTTCGGAGCACACTCTTATTAGCTCATTCTGACCAACGTGGTGAAGTATGGTCAAAGAAACCCCGTGACTGACATGGGAGACCTCCATCCAGCAGTGTATTGACAATACTAAAGATCAATTGGCATCACTATGTGTACCGCGACTGTGGCTTTAGCAGTAGCCTGCGTGAACAAAACTGTACGATAGCAATTTGAGCGGCATATTTTATTATTTATTTATGTTACGCTGTTAACTAATATAAACATGAAACTAAATTATTCGCTAAACAAACATGGAACTACACCAGGAATGCTGATGAGGTTTTAAACATTACAGTTTTATTATTTCGCTGGCACCTCGAACGGGCTGACCGCTTATTAAATGCAAACCACGGCAACCTCAGAGGCCACATTGTCCAAGCAAACATCCAGGATTAGAGGCAGTGGCAGCCAAAGCCCGCGAGCAGTGGGTGCCTACGAGGCCCTTGGAAAGGCAAGGTATGAAGAGTAACAGCTGTGTGTGCGTGTAACAGCAAGGGCAGCCGCGTGCCAAATGCGCACGCCAGCTCCTAATAACATCGACCCATTCACCGCGCTATCTCTGTACCACAGCGGTCGTCCGCCGCAACGCTCCCTCTGTCACAATCACCATTCAATCATCGTCTCTCCCTGCAGCGCCACTCTGACCACTCGCTAGCAAGCCATCTTCACCACCGTGACCGCTCGCTCCGCTCTTCCCCCTGATCTCATCTCTCCCTGCAGAGCTGCCGCGGTCGTCGACCACGAGTCCCTGTGGACGACGCGGACCGTCCACCCAGTTCTGCCTGTGATAAAATGACCGATGTCCAAGCTCTCTTCCTGGGCGGCGCTGAATATTTGCAGGCCGACACTCGGAGGGCATTGTGCACCGAGCGCTGGACAACTCCGCCGTCCGCCCACAAACGACCCCCCTCCCCCCCCCCCCCATTGTTAATGAAAGCACAGAGCGGCCTGCATCCGTTTCACTTAACCCTCAGGAACGCCGGGAGATCACTTTGGGAGACAATAACAGCACGGAAGAGCGCACGCGCATACACACACACATAGATATGACATTAAGCACGCCGTATTTGTAGGGACAGATATTATATTTAAATGGAGGCTCCATCCATTCAAAAGTAGATAATTATTTATTTTACTATCCTACGATTGCACGAGGAGGAGGAAGACGATGATGCGGATCTATGAAGGAGAGTCTCGGGTCCGGCTCTGAGGCCATGTGGCCCCTGAGTAAAACGTCTCCTTTTGAAAGCTGCATTATTAGTATTTTTATTATTTTAAGTTAAAAGAACTTTTCACCTGACAAAACCCATTTATGTGGAGAGCAAAAGAAAAAAGGAAAATACACAAATGTGAAATTTACATCATTGGGAGTGGACTCCTGCTTGCGAGCCCTTTCAACTTGTATAAATGAACGCAATTACCATCCTCTTTCAAACCGTGCCACTGCTCCACTTATGTGGCAGAGGAGGTTGGCCACATAAATGAGACAATTTCTGATCTACTATATCACCTGTGGCCCCTTGCTAAACAGCATCAGACAATAATGAATGATCCAGGAGAACAGTATGAAATGGCCCAGGCAATTTGTACTGTGAAATTGTAAGTGGCATTATGTATTAAGCCCATTATAAATAATTAGCATCACAGAAGACTGCCGCTCGCGTCGAGCTGCTCATTTGTACTCAAAATACACAGACACGCCGACACAGCCCAAATACACAAACGCGCTGACACGCAGACACGCGCACCCAGCCCAACTAAACAGACACGCAGACAGGCACACACAGTCCAACTACGCAGACATGCAGCCACAGCCATAATACACAGACACGCGCACACAGCCATAATAAACATCCACGCAAACACAGCCAAAATACACAAACACGCTGGCACGCAGACACGCAGACACACAGACACAAAGCACACAGCCCAACCACACAGACACACAGCCCAACCACACAGACACACAGACACACGCACACAGCCCAACCACACAGACACACAGACACACAGCCCAACTAGACAGACACACAGACACACGCACACAGACACACGCACACAGACACACAGCCCAACCACACAGACACACAGACACACAGACACACGCACACAGCCCAACCACACAGACACACAGCCCAACCACACAGACACACAGCCCAACTAGACAGACACACAGACACACGCACACAGACACACAGACACATGCACACAGACACACAGCCCAACCACACAGACACACAGCCCAACTAGACAGACACACAGACACATGCACACAGACACACAGACACACAGACACACACACACAGCCCAACCACACACGCACATAGCCCAACCACACAGACACACAGGCACACACCCCAACTAGACAGACACACAGACACACACACACAGACACACGCACACAGACACACAGCTCAACCACACAGACACACAGACACACGCACACAGCCCAACCACACAGACACACAGACACACAGCCCAACTAGACAGACACACAGACACACAGACACACGCCAGCGTGTTTCAGGTGCGCTCGTGGGGAATCATGTTCCGGGCAGCGCAGACAGCCCGGCTGATTTACGCGAAGATCTCTCGCAGAGATACCCACCCACCTACCCGCCACCTTTGTGTTGTCAAATTACAGGGGACATGAGGCTGGTGGCACTTTTTTGTAAATCAAAGGGGTAGGCAAATCGGACATTAAGGTGTAATCAATTGCATTATGGTCTATGTGACCACATTACCTTCCTCACTGATTAGGTTAGCAAAATGAGGGTGTTTGTTGGGCAGTGGCGATCATTGTCTGCAGCAGTCGGCTGCAACAGCACGTAATTACATCTTTGAATTAGAAACCGTAATTACATACGTGTGCATGCACGTGCTCGCATGTCGTGTACAAGCGCGCGTATATTTGTGTACGTAGATGCATACTGGCGCCGAACGGTGGGGCGGCGATTAGCGCCCTGCGCTAACCACCCGGTCGATCAGTTCAATTCCTGGCCATGGCTGATGACCCGACCCACCATCAACAACCCACGCTCACTGCCAGTGAAATATGGTCAAATAACCATGGGGAGTCCTTCATCCAGTAGTGGATTGATAAAAGGCTGTGAATTCTATTTTGTACATATTTTGCAAACATACCAGGGCCAGTAATGATGTTTTGAGAACAATGCATAGACATAATTACTGCATTAACATTTGTAAAATAATAATGATATTAATTCACAGCCCTTGATGAAGGCTTTCCCATGCCGTGCTAGTGTTGGGGGGTATTCGCCAGGGCAGTACGCTTGACCATACTTCACCACGTTCGAACCAGCTCAGATAATCACTCGCCACTGATGTCGACTGTGGCCGAGATCCAAACTCAGGTCGCCATGTTCATAGCAGAGGGTGCTAACCACTGCGCCACCACTCCACCCATTAAGCTTAATAAACCATTAGCCGTTTTTATAGCGTAACATAGCTAATGTCAGCTAACTATTTATATTCCACATTTAATGACTGCATATTGGTCGGCTCTCAAACTCCATGTCTGTCGCTATATACAATCCAGTTCATTGCTGTACTTTATTTAATTTGCTTTGCTTTTGTTGTTGTGGTGACCCAGGTCCCACTTGTGAATGACTCGTTCCTGGGTCTCTTGAGTTCTCACCCAGTCACAGAACTAAACAAACTCCATATAAATGACAGCACTGGCCCATTATACACATGCGTGTGTGGACGTGTGTATGTGTATGGGGAGCAGTAGTGTAGCGGTCAGCGCTCCGTGCTACGAACCCGGCGACTCAAGTTCGATTCCCGCCTACGACCAACATCAACGACAATTATATGAACCGATCCTGGGCCTCCCCTAGGTCGATGTGTAAACATCGCCACTGGGGATACAAAGGCGGCCGGGCATGGTGCTGGCCACCCCACCCCCTCGTGCGTTGTGCCGGCCTTCAATGGTGCTCGCTAACAGCACTTGCTCCAACAGCCTGTGTAGGCTACACGGGGGACCTTCGTGTGCGGCGCTGTGCGGAAGTGCAGGACGCACCTCGGTCTGCACCATGTTGACGCGCTGGGCCCGCAGCTCGCGCACGCAGTTGTAGATGTCGACCACGGCCTCCCCCTCGGCCATCTCCAGCATCATGTCGATGACGATGAAGCAGCCGGTACGGCCGGCACCCGCACTGCGCACACCGTTACACCGCACACACACACGTGTGCGTGCACAGACCCACATGCAGATAAGCACATGCAAATACCGTACTATAAAGACACACACGCAGAAAAATGTCAAACTCTCCATTTGGAACAAACGCTGTTGGGCAAGGGGCTGTTTTTGGCGGCGCAGTGAGGTGGTGGCGTAACGGCCACCGCACAAGCCAGCTGCCATGTTTGGAAGGCTCCAGCGTTGATTAATTTTGGACCGATTCAAGTGAGAAGGGGGCCCTGTCGCAATCCAAAGGTCGCCGCTTCGATTTCATCTCCCGGAACGGCATACGAACGATGGGCGAGTGTCTTAAAGTGCCTCTGCCTCTTGTCCACCCTGAATAAATTGATGTCCCACGGTCTGTCGTGGGGGGGGGGTAAAGTGTGAGTGCTCCCTCCTCGGCGTTGAAGAGTGGGCCAAATACCCTTTAGAGGGGGCTCTGTGGAGACTCTTCCGCCAGCAGTGCCTTGTGAAAGACATTGCAGGGCTGTGCCTTTACCCGAGTAGGAAGAGACTCGTGGCAGGCGGAGAGCACAAACAAGACTTTCCCACTGATGTCCATGGCACCATTCGTATAATTTTCACTCCTATCGTGTTTTTGTCGTGTTTGTTGTTGTAACTTTCTGACCCACCCTGACTGGACATCTGTGAAATAGAGCTTCATAAGCTCGTCGGATTCCTCCTGCAGGATAAACACAGATCCTGATCCTGAGCAGAGTTGAAAGCGTGCCGGGGAAGCATTCATCTCATAGCCACCACCCTTCTCCACACACTAAAAGACAAAGCTCCCCCGTGTAGCCTACATAGACTGTTGGGCGAAGAGTGGTTAGCGGCCACCTATAAGGCCTGGATGACACAAGGGGAGTGTGAGTTCAGCACAAGACTCCAGTAACAATGTTTACGTACCACACACAGTCTCATTTAATGCGGAGTTAACCAAGGGGAGGTCCATTACCAGTTCCAATTTCGCACAATATACGAGGGGATGGGTGGCCAACACCACGCCTGGCCGCATTTATCTCCATAGCGGAAATGTTTACACATCGCGCCAGGTACTCATTTGAGGCTGAGTCGAGCTAGGAAAGGCCGAGGACCGCTTCAGATAATCGTCACTGGTGATGGCCATGAGCAGGAATCAAACTTGGGTCGCCGGGTTCGTAGCGCAGAGCACCAACCGCGACACTGCCTCTGCACTCACACAATCGATACTGCCTCAGAATTACATAAATTGCCGTGGGTTTTCGACGGAACGCGTCGTGATATTTCAACCTCGTGTGTCGGCCTCAAAGCCGAGGTCTCCTCAAAGCTGTATTTTTGCACCTGCACAGACACCGATGACATGGCCTCATCGCAGCTTCAAAACCACAACTCCCTTCAAAATGTTACCCGAGAATGGCCATTGATTTTCAGTGCATTTGAACAAATCCGATTTGGATTGCAGCCTCAACGCCCATTCCATTTGGCCCAAGTCACCACAAAGGGCAGCGGCAGCTACAATCTGTGGCCACTGAGGCGGCGTGCACCTGCAGCTCGTTTTCTCCACTGGTGCTTGACGGTGGCGGCTGGGTCTGTACGAAGCGGACATTAGCGGTGGTGCTTCACCTCGACAATTCTCTAAGAAATGTACTTTTAAATCATATATCCTCTTAAGAATGTATCCTTATTAAAATGCATTTTTAAATCATGTATCCGTCTAGGGATGTATCGTTATAAAAAAATTAAGTTTAAGAAAAACCTGTGTGAAAGTAGAAAGTAAAAAAAAACCCATGGATTTTTAAATACATTTTGTATTATTTTTTTACTTTATTATTTATAATTTATTCAGAATTGATGAGTAAAAAAATCGAAATATAGGGCGCTGGGCCTCACTGCCCAAATGTCGTCATCTCAATGGCAAATTTAAACGCCTCCAACAGAGTGAGCGGAAAAATTAAGCCATGGAGCGCAATTAATTCGAACCCTGGCCAATAACAAACCAGCGTTCCAAGGGTCACTTGCATCGAGACAGCCAAATGCAAATGAGCCCCTCCCTCCATAGAAAGCGCCGACCGCGCCCCAACCGCCCCAACCGCCCAGCCAGGAGTTAGACCTGCCAGCCGCCACGGGGTGGCTTGCTCACATTTTGTTTACAGCTCCCGATTTAAATATATATTTAGATACACGTTTACCCAGAAAAGCCTCACAAAGTCTCTTTTTCAGGGGGGTCCTGCAAATTTGTCGCGGTAGGGGGCGATGTTGCTGTTGCGTGTAATCCCAATTGAGTAATTTGCAGTTAAAGTTTCAGCATTGGGATGTTGAGCCAATACCACTTACATTGTATGAGGAAAATAAGAGAACAAACCCAATATTCTTTACAAAAACCCAGCATTGAAAAGCACCCTGGTCGGTAATCAAACCCAGGGCCTGCTTGCTGCGCTGCCTCCATGCCACCCATGCGTTTCACGCTTAACAAAGTGGACAGTCAGGCCCATATTAGTGCCGAAGATACCAGCGCTGCCAGTTCCACATCAGAACTGCGCAGATTTCCATTACAGAAGGCCGCGTGGAAATATATCTGCTGTTTGTTGAATTGCATTGGGAGAAAAAAACGGTTAAATTCAAACATGGGCAAATGTTTTTTTTTGCATAATTCAGCTCAGTGCTGATATATTGAAGATTCGTGTTCGCACTGTGCGAGAAATAGCAGCGTTCCATCTGATAGGGCCGTGATGCAACAAGACAGACTCGGGGCCGAGCCTGTTATTACGGAGTGGGGGGGTGGCCACAGATAGAGCTCGTGATGGAATGACAGCCGGGAAGGAACAACCAAAAGAGAGATGGAACGATAGGCGTGGTTGGGAAATACCGATATAGCTGCACATGTTGGTGAGCAATGGAACGAGCACAGTGTGATTCAGCATAATAATAATAATGCCCGATACCAGCAAGCCACGCACAGTCTCAAGACCTTTTTAGGAGGGTCCTGTATTGGGATGTTTGGCCAATGCGACCCCTTCGCATGTAGGAGGAAACCAGGTGACGAGAGCCATGAATGTGAGGGGATATCAACAAAAGCTCTGCACAGATCGCTTTACAGATGCTCTCCTGGTTCCCTCGCAGAACCGAAGCTGCAACACTGCGGGATACTCAGGCAGTCTCCCATCCGAGTGCTAACCATGCTCAACCGTGCCTAGGGATGATGACGGCACTCAGGATGCTCAGCGTGTAACCTTTTCTCAACCCACCGCTGGACGTGGTCCTCCGTCATCGGGATTATTTGACCATACTTCACCACGCCGGTCAGTGCGGGTCGGACAAGGGCGGATGCGAGACCCCAAGGCGGGTTCAGACATCACTCGAAAACTCAGGTCGCGGGGGTTCGCGGCGGAGCGCGCTAACCACCGCGCCACAGCAGAGAGACCCGGAGCGCTGCGAGGGGCGGACGGGAGGGAGCACCTGCAGTGGACGACGACCGGGCCGGCCTCGGGCGGGTTGAGGCTGCGCACGCGGCGGATGAAGGCGAGCAGCCCCGTGGCGTAGTAGGGGACGCCGTGGTCAGGCCAGCCCGTGAAGTGGAACTGCTTCACCTCCTGCACTTCAAAGTATCCCGTCTGCACGCGCGCACGGGCGACACACGTCCACGGCCCCGTCCACCACCGAGCGCCACCCAGGGAGGGGATGGGGTGAGGGGGTGCAGCGAGGCCGCCTGCGCCGGTGTCTTTGAACATTCCTCAGACGCCGATGGAATTATCGACCCGTTTTATGTGCGTGTGTATGTGTGTGTGTGCGGGTGGGGAGCGGTAGTGTAGTGGTTAGCGCGCTGCACTATGAACCTGGCGACCCGGGTTCAATTCCCGCTCACGGCAAACACCAGTGACGATTATTTGAACCGGTCCTGGGCCTCCCCTAGGTCGACTCAGCCTCAAATGAGTACCTGGTGCGGTGTGTAAACATCGCCGCTAGGGAGACAAAGGCGGTCGGGCGTGGTGCTGGCCACCCACCCCCTCGTGTACCGTTCCGGCCTTCATAGGTGCTCGCTAATAGCACTTGCCCCTACAGTCTGTTAAGTCTATACGGGAGATCTTTGTCTTTTATCTTTGTGTGTGCGTGTGTATGTGTGTGTGCGTGCGTGTGTTGGTTGCCTGAAAGTGGGCGACTTGTGCAGGGTCACGCTTCAGTTCTTGTTTTGAAAAATAAAACCGAAATGCGCCGTGGAAAAAAAAAACACGATTCCGTGCTGGGTGGTTTGAGAGCATCTGACAAACTGCGATGTGGTGCGTGCGCGCGTACTCGTGAATGCGTATGTCCGTGTGCGTTTTTTATTCTGGCCATACCACTCACTCGTGCGCTGTCCCGACCTTTTCATAGGTTCCTCCCCTAGGTCAAGAGCCTGAAATGATTTGCCGATGCTTTGTGTAAAGATCAGCACTGGGGACACAGAAGTTATCGGGAGTGGAGCTGGTAACACCCAGCCCTTTGTGCAATGTGCTGGCCTTAATAGGTGCTCACCAACAGCTCTTGCCTCAACAATCTATGTAGGCTACAGGGAGGATTTCAGCATTTGCCTTTTTGGGTGTGCATGCATCTGTATTGAGAGAGGTGAAAGAGGTGGACACAAACCGAATAATGGACCTGGCTTCCTGGGCTTAATTCCCAGTCACAGACAGCATCAGTGACGGGCTTATCTTGACCTGTTCTGGGCCTCCCCGAGGTCAATTCGACCTTAATCGAGCGCCTGGTGCGGCACGTAAACATCACCACTGGCGAGACGGAGGGGGCCGGCCATGGTACTGGCCACATCACCCCCCTTGTGTGCTGTGCCGGCCTAAATCGGTTCTCACGAATGGCACTTTCCCCAGCCAGTGTATAAGGCTACACGGAACATCTTTGTCTTTGCTGAGTGTATGTGTGAGTGTGTGTGCAAATTGAGTGCCGTTTTTATATGCAAAGAAGTATTTTTTCAAGTCATGGCCTTGGTCGATGTTCGCAGCATTGTGCAGTGGCCTGCAGAGTTATTTACTTATTATTTGTGTGGTGCATTCGCAGCATTCATCACCCGTGTCAAGGTTTTCATCATTGTGTCACCGCCTGAACGCAAATACCCCTCTTCACTCTATCTACATAGAATGAATATCTGCAACGGTTCCACTATTCAAACCATTATGCAATCATCACTCACCGCACACATTCAATGCAGGCCGCGTGCATGTGTATAATAAACACAACATCGTCATCATCATCATTCCTCGTAATGCATCCCAGTAAACACATCTATTGCGTCATAAGAGAGCAGGACTTGAGCCAGACGCCCTCACTCAAAGGGATGATGGCCCCACTGTGAAGACTAATCATGGAGTGGCGGTCAAGGAACGGAATGCAAACGAAAAGACCCCCACCTTGGAGATGGAGCGATGAAATCAGTTCACGTGGAGGTGCTAGGGAGATGCTGTAACTTTGCATGACAGGGAGAGGTGGCAGTGGCATGGGGAGGCCATCGAGTAGTGGACTGACAATGGCGCATGATGATAACAAACCTTTACTGAATCCCAGGACAATTTCAGGAAGGTGCTGCTGCTACGTTGGGATGTTTGACTAATTCCCATGAACGAGTGTAAGGCTTCTGGGGTACCACCCACAGGCGCGTACAAAAGGGTGACACTCAAAGCTGCGCACAAATAGAGTACAGAATCCATTGTCGTGCTGCCAGATCCTCATCATCTTTGGCCAAATTACCAGTGACGTCCACCAATGATGAATCAAAATTTATCTGCATAATTTCTTTATCAGCCATCTTATTCTCTAAAAGTGTATATGTGTTTGTGAGTGTGTGCAGGTCTCTATATACAATATTGTGCAGGGCATATTTTATCCGTAGTCAGTGCGCTCAATTTTCAAAGTGGCGAACATGCTGCTGATACGCTATGCTCTATTGTGAGATATTAACAACTCAGCGAGGCCGTTGTTTTTAATGCTCAAATCGCTCCCACCAACAGTGTACTCTGTTATGGTTGACACATGTAGATGGAGTCAACATTGGGCTTGCATTCTCACTGCAGCACGTGGCTTTGGGAATCTGTTGCACTAATTAACTGCACCAATTCACTTCGTCCAATCGACCCTCTGAATAAAGTACCAACATTATTTGGCTCGACAACAATAATTTAGAAGGAGGAGGGGCTCATCCAGCCCGCTCCAGACCCCCCCCCCACCCCATCCCAAACTACAGGGCCGACCCACGCCCACGTAGGCACCACCGGCCGTGGCCACAGAGCGTCGTGGCTGCTGGGGCACGCACGCACATGCACGCGCATGTGCACGCACACACGCACACGCACCCTCTCCACGGTGAACGTGCGGATGACGTATTCGGCGAGCAGCTCGGTGTGCACGAGCGAGACGGTGAGGTCGCCGTGGACCTGCTCGTCCTCCGGCCAGTACTTGTAGCACTTCACCTGCGAACACAGAACGCGGCACGAGCGCTCGCACCGCTTTGCCGAGGCCAAGAAATGGTAGAATGCTGCCGTCGTACCTGTTCTCGGCAACCGTGATTTAAAAAAATATATATCCAGGTAAAGCCGCACACGGTCTTTCGCTACTGGACAGCGGAGCCCCGACCGTGGCTGCGGCACGGAGTGGGGGCCTTCGTCGACTGGGACGAGCGGTGTAATGGCCGGCTAATGGGAGCTCTTTGGACGCTTTCAATCAACCACGTCGCTCACCCTAGCGCCGCGGAGATGCGAGGTGGCCCCGGTTTCCTTCAGCTGGCTCCGTGCGCGCCCGTCTATCATCCAGCAGTGGACTGACAAACAGCTGTCCATGCGTATGCAGCATAACGCCACGTTCCGTAGTCAATGTTCCGACTTTAGATGCTTTCTTTCTGCTCTCCCTGCATGCCTGTGCCATGCGGAACCCTCCCTCCCCATAGCAAGCAGCCAGCTGGCCTCATACGATCAAGCGCGCTCCTCTGCGTGGCTTGCTGGCACACATGTGACGTGTATTAACCTCTTTTCACTGATGCATTACAGCCATATGCAGTGCACGACCCTCCCGGTACGAGTGGTTTTTCCATTGGTTATATGCCGAGCCGAGCCAGAACCAAACTATGACATGTGCACCTGGTTCATGTCCAAGCAGGGCCAGTGGCCTGGTTGACGAGGCTCGTTCATTGCTCGTGATATCAGTAACATGTCTTGAGTTTTAGAGTGGGACAAAAAAATTGGTGGCACCAGAGCCATGGCCCTGGCACGGCTTGGTTATACAGTGGAAAACGAAATACTTTAACCGGCCCGCAAATGTTCAAGGCTGTTTCCTTGAAGTAATCCAGCCTGGACACGTATTCCGCGAGTTGTGGTAAACAAGCTTGTATATTAGTTTTACTCTGCTTTCGTTGAGGAATTCAGGAAAGCATAACCCTCTGTGGCGTTTCCGTGCTGTACCGCACGCTGGTGTTGGCACGATGTCCGACAATTCGCCAAGGGTCTTTTGGTCTTCACAATCACAGAAAATCCCGAAGAAGCTCCTCACATGCCGAGCAAAACGTCAGACATCGTGCCGAACGACACGTGGCACAATCAAAGCACCCGTCGGATGGCTACGCAGCGGTAATGAAGAAGAGCGCTTTGGTTGCGATCCTCAATCACAAACGCGTGTCGGAGTGCAGGAGCGCGGTGTGCTTGGACTCAAAGGAACCCTGAGCCATGTGTTAGAATGACCAATATCGAGCTGGTGAACGGTTAAACTTTTTTTTTAAGGATTATCGTGAAATCTAGCAACACATAGCGCTCGACTGCCGGGGCACTTCCATGGAAAAATAAAATGATGGATTTCCGCTGTTCATTAGGGCGTTTTAGGTTGACTGGATATTAACTATAAACGAGGTGGTGCCGTAATCCGTGAAGAAAAAACAACATTCCGTGCTTTCGGTCAACTTGGGTCTTGGCAGTCGCGGAGCATCTTGATATAATCAGTCGTTTGCGATACTCATCATCGCTGCTGGCAATTAGCTGTAATCACCGGTCGCATTTGCGCGCGTCTAGATTTTTATGTTTTCATTTGTTAAGCTTACTTCTGTGCGCTCGGCACATAACGTGCGGCCCCCATATGATTTGCAACACAATGCAACTAAGTGGGAGTGAGTGCGAGTCAAGAGCTAACCACAAGAATTAGAAAATGACTTTTTGAGAACACGCGTTGAGAATTAATTGTTAAAGAGCAAACTGAGTTACAGAATGTATTACACACACCACCATTACAATCTCCATTTGCAAAGAAAGCTACCGGCTTCGTTTGAACAGCTACACCGAGGCAAATAGAAATAAATCAACGGTGCTGCTAATTTGTTTCTACAAGTGGAACATTATATCTGTATCAAGGTAAAGGTGCGGCCCTGGCTCTGCTTCTTCGCACCACTGCTGCAGGAAGGTCATCCACGAGGGGGAGCTCTAGAAAGCCCCTCTGGCTACAAGTCCTGGAAGAGGTGGGATCACTTATGCGTTACCCCACCGTGCCGGAACTGCTGAGATCACTTACCATGGCGTATCCGTTTAAACTGCCGGGTGGACAGGGACAGGAGGCATTTAAGAACCTTGCACCGTTCTTTCAACTGCCGTACCGGGAGATCGAATGGAACGGATTTTAAGTCCATTGCGCTAAAATTTGATTCAAAGCTTTCGTGACTGCAGGGATTCATATTCTTGGTTCTTTCGGTAAAGTCACGTATAAGGGAAATAATACAATAATAAAAATATAAAACAATAAAATTATCACGACGTTTCGACTGCAACGCAAGCTATCATCATCAGGTGTGAAATCCACAGCAAGATAAATTGAAAAAAATAAAAAATAAATCACCTTATGATGATTGCTTGTGTTGCAGTCGAAACGTCGTGAGAATTTTATTATTTAATATTTTTATGATTTTATAATTTCCCTTCTACGTGACTTTACCGAAAGAACCAAGAATGTGAATCCATTGCGCTAATCGTTGCACCGCCGTGGCAGCGTCCTTAATATCCGCCAAGCGAGCGGCCGCCGGTCTCCGGCGAGCTTTAGACGAGGCAACTCGGGCACGGCGAGGACGGCGCGTCACGGCCGTGCGGATTCACGCGCACGTCGAGCCGCATGGCCAGCGGGGGCGCAGGCGGCGACAGCGGCTCGCTAACCGCGCTCGCCTTGCAGCCCCAATTATCCGTCAAACTCTGAGCGAGCGTCGTCAATGTTTAAACAGCTCCAGCCGCAGCTGGCAATGATCTCACTCAGCGGCTGGACAGAGACGTGCGCGATTTGCTCCGCTCGTTCGAGAGCTCCTCGGACAAAATACGCAAACCGATGAAGCTCGACACCTTCACGGCTGCTAGAAAGGTTAAGGAGCAACCCTGCAATTTCCTGCTCACGCCACTGCTCGCGGAAAAGCCTCCACTAGAGGGAGCGCCAGAGAGCCCCTCCAGGGAGCTTCTCTCGATGGTGTTGGGTCTGCCTACTTTACCAGATGTCTTGATAGAAGTGGAATACCCACACTTTGCCACACCACGCATCATCTGTCAATCGACTAACTGTTGTGTACCCATGTATACTGCTGTTTGGACAGGTGGGGGGGGGGGGGTTAAAATAAATTGGCCTCGTGTTATAACTCGCAACCATTGCGAGTTTCAGTTGTGCATGATGCCATGGCAGGATGTCACGCATGCTAAACTCCAGAAATTGTCCAGCGACCCCCAATTAAATGCAGACCCTCGTAAACAAACTCGCAAGATAAACGATAAAAAATAACTTTGCGTAGCGTGACATATTCTCTGCCAAAACATTATCTTGGCGATGTAAAATAATTTTCCCTCATGGAAATATGAGGAAAGTGAAATGAAAGAAAAGGCGGCTCTGCACGGGAGAGGCCAAGGAGCCGGAAGGCCGAGGCTGTACTCACCCTGCCGACCTCCACCAGGTTGGTGACCATCACGATGCTGGCCGATTTCTCCTGCCACACCATCCGCCAGAAGTCGTACACCGTCTCTTGCATCGGGCCTGCACAGACAAAGATCCCCCGTATAGTCTCAACAGACTTTTTCAAGCAAGTGCTGCTTGTGAGCACCGATGTAAGGCAACACGGAACCCCAGGTGTTGGTGGCCAAGCACCACCCCCGGCCACCTTTGTCTCCCCAGTGCTGCTGTTGATACACGGCACCATGTGGTGATTTGAGGCCGCGTAGATCTAGGGGAGGCCCAGGATATTCACTACCCAGGACCAGGTCAAATATTCGCTCATGTTTGGCTCTGAGTGGACCTCGAACTCGAGTCACCAAGCTCCTAGCACACCGCGCGAACCACGAGACTACAATCCACACGTGTACAAAGACACATCCCCCGTAGAACCTCAATAGACTGTTGGGGCAAGTGCTGTTTGCGATCGTGCGCACACACACACACGTGGGGGGCATTGCTAGCTTTCTTCACCTGTATCTTTCTGAGCTGTGAGTTTCTCGTGCGGTGCGGCAGAGATTGAGCCAGATTGATTTGGCAGCAGCAGCAGCAGACTGCTGTAATGAGCAGGGCAGTGCCCGTGATGAGCCAGGCTTGCCACTGGATGTTATTTACGGTTCACCACTACACCAATTTCATTCCGCGACTTCATTCCGCAAGTGAACTGATAAAATATTGTCGTGCAATCGGTAATTAGATTTTTTAATTATTGATATTTAAGTGTCACACATACACCGCGACCACATTATACATACTATATGTGTAAAAGACAATTCCTTCTGTTTGCCTTGGGTCTAAATGCATATGCAGTTAGCGAGTGCCTATTAAGGCTTGCATGGCATTATATAGTGTGGTATATCCGGCACCACAATCTTTGCTTTTCTATCTCCAGTATAGATTTGTACACATCACACCATGTACTCATTTAAGGCTGAGTCAACCTAGGGGAAGTCAAGGACAAGTTCAGGCAGCACTTGCCACAGACACGAATGCCTAGCAATAGACTACCGTGTAGAATCCATTGTTCCAACACCTACTTTGTGCATACATACACAAAGCACAGAGATCCCCCATAAAGCCTTTATAGGCTGTTGAGGCAAGTGCTGCCAGCAAGCACCTGTGAAGGTTGTCACAGTGTACAGTGCTGACGTTTACTCACCACACCAGGTACTGATTTAAGACTGAGTCAACCTGGGGGAGATCCATACCACTCTTTTGTTAGCGGTGGCTTGGAATCACAGTCGGGCTGATAGGTTCACAGTGCAGTGCGTTAACCACTGCGCCACCGCTCCCCACGTACACACAAACGCAAGCACGCACACAGGAGGCGGCAGGGTAATACGTCTCTCACTCAGGAGAGAGGAGAAACTGCAGAGCTATTTATTATTGTAATAACTGGTTGTGCAACGATGATAAACCTCACGTCACCCTTGGCAGAGGGCTTAACAATTTCCTGCCAGAGCCACTAAAACGTCCCAGACACACGGGCAGCCGTTCAGATGCCGTTGTGTAATCTCCGCGGGTACCCCCGCACGAGTGTCTTGCAACGGCAGATTTCAATGTTTGCTCTCTGATCCGAAGACGGAGGTGGTGTTGCTATTTTTTTTCCGTTCAGTTATTTGATTTTTTTTTTACCAAGAGTGTAAATTTAGTCACCATCTTGGATTGTATTCACCTCGTGGACGGCAGTCGGTGGAGTTCCCGTCGCCTCTCGGTCGCTCTCTTCGCGTCGCCGACCAACGCAGCCAAACATTCAGTCACGTGCTCTTCGTTGTCAAATGCTGGTGGAGGAGCGTGCAAATAAATGCTTCTTCTACGCTATAATCAGCTCAGCCAATCAGTGAGATCAGTAAATCATCTTGTACACATTTGTAGCTAATTGCCATGTTTAGGTCTTCCTCGGCGCATTGCAGCATCTCATCTTCGTGCCGACCCCCGTTGATTTCGCATTTGTCACGGTCAGCCACGCTTTGGTCTTTCATGGGCAGCAGTGGCAGTCGTCTCGTCGCGGTCTGAACAAACTTGTCCGAGCCCAACCAGCCAACCTCACGCAGGGACCGTTTTTAAAGTAGGGCAATATAAAAAATAAAGGTTTAAGAAATTGCGAGTGAACGTTAAACGCTAAAGCGAGTAATAAAAAATGAAAAAGATATTTATTTATTTTTTACCTACGTGACTTTACCGAAAAAACCTAAGAGTATGAATCCTTGCAGTCACGAAAGCTTCAAATCTAGAGCTAAAGCGAGTAACGCCGCTCCATGCGTTCGTCTCGCGTGCATTCCGCTAGGGGACCCGGCCGCCGTGTGGACGAGGGGCCGCTGTGACGCCCGCCGCGTCGTCGTGCTGAACTTCTATGCCAACGATGTTGGACTTGGATATAAGAATTAGAAAGGGGGGTTGAGCCTTTTTCATTCGAGGCTAACCCCCCCCCCCCCCAACCTCTCTGAAGCTACAGAGGCTGCTGCATCTCGAGCCCCAGACAGAGAGAAGGGACCCCTTTTGTTTTCGCCTTGCTCACTGCCGGGCTAAGTGCTGTGAGTGACCTCTGTGACACACTCTCTCGCACCTTCGGATCCACATTCATTTCTCCTTCAGCAAGCTCGGAGACCAGAATCCGTGGCAAATAGTCGAGGTTAAGCTGACAAACAAAACACTTCACTCATTTCGTCCATTAATTTCGCGTCGGCAGCTGGGCTTGCCACCTGTCTTGATTTACCCAGGGACTTCCACTGTTTGATGTAGCTGCTGTTGCTGGGATATCGACAAGTCTTCCCGGGATTTTTGTCAATCTCGTTTTTTATCAGTTGCGTAACAATCCACCGATGGAGACAATGCATTTACATGCAGGATTCCACGATATATCCTTGTCCTTGCGCTATACATCCCAGATTGTATCTCAGAGGTGGCAACTCTTTTGGCGGCTATGCGTTTCGGTGTATCGGGCGCCATTTGCTACGCCCAGGAGCTTTGAGTCGGCTTTTCTCCGGCATCACCGGGACCACGGCGCGGGAGCAGGGTTGCGATTTCCGCATGGAAAATGCGGAAGGAGGGTTCAAATTTTCCCGCATTTTTGCTAAAGTCAACCGCAAACGGTGGAAAGACTACTCCTATGACCGCGCGCTTTTAACAACACGTTAATGCGTTCTATTGGAAAGGATACATGCAAGGCCCAGCATCACGTAGGGCTTTGAGTTACTGATTGGAATGAATATATGATTTCCGCATTTCCGCACAAGAACCACATACTTTATTCAAATGCGGAGCCGTGATTACGAGCACATGTACATGATGTATCCTTTCCAATAGAACGCATTAACGTGTTGTTAAAAGCGCGCGGTCATAGGAGTTGTCTTTCCACCGTTTGCGGTTGACTTTAGCAAAAATGCGGGAAAATTTGAACCCTCCTTCCGCATTTTCCATGCGGAAATCGCAACCCTGCGCGGGAGGGCGCGGGAGAGGGAGGGGTGCGGGAGAGGGAGGGGGGGCGCGGGAGAGGGGGAGCGAGGGGGAGAGCCAGACGGGCGCCGCCGGCACAGCGCTGTCACCGCACCAACACCGCACCAACACCGCACTAACACCGCACTAACACCGCACCGCCTATTCCCCTCCCCCTGGGTGCACACAAATCAGAAGTGAGCGTGTGCGATACTCACCGCCGAAAATGTAATTTCTGCTCGATCCGCATTCAATTAGCGACGGTGTTGTTTGCATGAATCCATTTACATCGTGCACGTCCGTAACCCTCGGTAACTTATTTTTTTCAAAAGCGCCAAAGCCATCCGGTTTGAACGAGGGGGCCGCTGCGCCGCGAGGCACCATTGTTTGAGCTCACGAACCGCTCCCTCAAGTTGGCTGCGTGCACGGAAGAAGCCCACTCCACTTCGAGCTGAGTTTGTCCGGACGCTCTGCTCAAAAGAATACTTTGTCAAAATTGTTGCACAGATGTACGTGTGCGCCTTTAATTGCGGAAGATGCAAACGAATATCTTTTGGCACAGAGTGTAATTGAAACATGCAATTGCAATGCAACAAAGTGAACAAAGAAGGATGTCAAGCTGGGCTCCCGATAAGTACGGGCGAAACAAAAGTCACATACGAACATCTTGTTCGCTCGTTGAAAAAAACAATTATTACATGAATAGAGGACACAGGAGCTGCAGAATGTGTACCTTGGGCAAATGTTGATTGGGATCAACCCCGGCACGAGAGTAAGCCTTACACAAAGGCCCTCTCGAGGGTGTTTGGCCTCGTAGCGGACAGGCCCCACAACACGGGGCTTGCCCATCAACTCACGGTGTTGCACTCATTTATGCTGCTGCTGGGCAGAGGTGGCAGGATGATTTAATCACCTGCCCCGTTGTTTCAAGTGCCGAGCCGAGAGATGGAATTGAACCGGTGCCCTCTGGATTGCAAGTCACAGTGTGCTGACTATTGCAGTCGAGTGGCATTGAGTGGGAAATCCAGATACCATCAGACGACAACTCACAACACTCATCTCCGCTCTGCTGGTTTGCTCTCATTTGTTGATGTTTTATTCTTTGGTTCTTTCGGTAAAGTCACGTATAAAGATAAAATAATAAATTAAATAATAGCATACTACGACGTTTCGATTGCAACACAAGCAATCGTCATCAGGTATAAAAGAAATAGCAACAAAAATCTAACCAGAAAACTATAGACAGACATATAAGCAGACATACATCATAAAGATGCACAGAGAGAGAACACGTAGTCACGAAAGCTCCAAAATTAAGATTGTTGATGTTTGGATTAAAGTCGGAGATGTCCTCATTAAATGTTTACTTTTGCCTTTCCTTTGGTACTATGGGCACTGTCATGTGCAGTAAGTGGATTTCGTCAGACATACAAGGTATTGCTTTGGCAAAAAATTGACTAAAGTGCCAATTAAAGAGGCTTTTCAAAGAATTTAGAATGACATAAAAAAGAAAGCTCCGAAATTGATCCTCGCATATAGAGTTTGGGCAGTTCACCAGCATTGTTTGACGCAAGCCTGACACTGCTGATGAGACATTGAATGCCAAAACCAGTACCAGAGTTTGCTTGTATTGAACCAAAGCTGCTGATAAGATACACTCTCCAAAAATTCCGCGTGAATGATAGGTTCTCTAAAATATACTTTCATTTGGGGAGAAACAAATATGGGAACGATGCCTTTATAAATAAATAAAATGGCAGCCACAGCCAGTGGATTGTCTCAAAACAATGGAACAAATGTAAAAGCAATCGCTTAAAATGAAAGAACGCACGAACATTACATTAATTAGGGAAGTATGATGAAAATTGCAAATGTTAAATGCGCATTACGGCAGCATTGTTATTCATCTCATCACAAGTTGCACGACGCACGTCACTACCTTTTATAGGATTAAAGTAAAAAAATAATTAATTCGCAGCACGAATGCCAACCACCCACACTTTTTGAGCAAAATTCCAGGCCATTATTTTCATGAAATGCACTCATTTGTGCACAGAACTTCGCCCATTGTTTAATTGAATACATCTGGGAGCACGCGCAGTGCGGGGGGGGGGGAGTGACAAACGGATTTTTTTGCAAAGCGGATTCGAATTATGCCGGAATAAAAAAAAAAGCCTTTCTAAATGAAATTACTATTTATATTTTTAACAAGAACAATACGGCCATAAATCTCAGACGACACGAAAACGAAAGTAAAATGGGGTATTGATCACTCATCAAAATCTCTACGACGAACACACGCGGGGCGGCGGTGGCGTCAACGACGACGAGGACGACGAGGAGGAGAGAACCGCCGCTCGCTGCCCTGCGCGGCGCCCGGAGCTCGCGGCCCGTGAAGCCTTCAGCCGCGTCGGGGGTTTATTAAGCACGAGGTAATGGGCCATTAATTTACAGCGCTGCTGCTGCTGCTGCTGCCTGCTATGTACACCGCGCGTCTCAGCAAGCGTTGGGGAACGGAGCCCAGGGTGCTTTTAATACCATTACCCCGCGCGCATACGCCGCCTGACTGCTAAGAGAGGACGCTGCTCAGCGGCAGAACCTCATTATAACCGAGTGGAACGGAGGATAAGCTTTCAGTTCATTATAAACGATTTCTATTGTGTCCCCACCCCGCACCCACGCACAGCAAATTATGCAAATTGTTATTTGCCGCGGCCTAATGTACACATTTTGTTGCGTCGAAGTGTGCCGAAATATGGACCGAGTTAATAGGCGGCGAAAAAACCGAGGCTTTTGTCAGGTTGGGGAGGGGAGCGAGAGGAGAGGGGCGAAGGAGCGACGGGAGAATGGGGATCGGGAATCAGAAATCCTCTGTTGTGACCTCGATCCCAAGGTAGGGCAAGCTTTGTGCCACTGTTTCCTTACGGATGGAAAGATGATCAGCAATATGAGTGCACGTCCATGTGAGGAATGGCAAGCGAGCCAGTGGATGGCTTCAGGTGAATATCTGAAAATCTGCCGGCGAAATGATGGAGGCAGGTGGTAGCGTTACTACGCTGCGGCCCGTGGTTTGAGATTGGTGATCGCAGTCCCACCCTGGGATAATCTCAATAGTCTATCGGTGAAGAAGATTGCCACGCACCTGCCGTGCGACGCCTGTGCCACTGTTAACCTCGTACCACAACACCCAGGTGCCGTGCCACTCAGTACCGCCATATCGCTTGTCGTGGCACGGTGCAGCATACAACACGGGCCCTCTGACCCTCCGAGGCCCAAGTTTAATTCCACATCACCAATGGCAGAGTCCAACATTGCACAACACAGCTAAGTGCTGTATAGATTCCCAACACTTCCCAGTTGTAATAACATCTCCATGTTTTCTCAAGATTTATGGAAATAAGACGTTGAGGAGGTAGTCAATTAGATAGTTTAAGAAATTAAGATAGGATGAAAAGAACAGGGCTCACCGATGATGATTATGCAGCTGATAAAGCAACGGAAATCAAGTGGAATTGGGCAGCACTAGTCATGAGGTCATGAGAGCAGCTGACGAGAGATGAGAAATTAAAATAACTCCGTTGGAGCAGAGACCAAGAGAAGGGAGGAGAAGCAGAAGGAGATAGCGGCAACAGCGGCGGCAGCAGCAAGACAACATCACAAAGGTCGGAGGTCACGACCGGACAGGATGGATTGGGGAGAGAATTGGGGAGGCCTTCACCTGGCGGTGGGGAGTTACTTGGCGACGACAACAAGAACAAGACAAAGTGCAGAGAGAACCCTGGGCTCGAGCCGCCATCATTCCCACGTACCTTGCGTTGCGACGTACTGCCGCGGCCTGTGGTAGCCCTGAACAGAGACAAACGGAGAGCTCACAGTCAGCACCGAGGCAGCAGCGAGAGCGAGCAGCGAGCATCCCGCCCGCATCACGCCCAGCACCCACGCGGCAGCGCGGAGGGAGACGCGGGCAATTAGCAGCGCTGACACCACAAGGTGCCGAACCATAATGGTTACATGCTTACTTGTCTGTTTTTTAACGTAAGCAAATTGTGATACCCGCGGAAGCGACAATAAAGCAGAGCTCAGCGATTAGGCAGAAACGGCTGTGGCGTACCTCAGTGTCACGAACGCTTTTTGTCGTGTAGGAGCGCTACCATTGTGGTTTATTATTTTTTTTGTGAGTTGAATCGAGCTAGCGAGAATGGGGAAAACGGGAACATGCGTCCCGCGCACCCCACACGCAAGCCTCAGGGGGTAAGTGGCGCTTTAGGGGAAGGAGGGAGTCGAGCCTGCATCTCGGCGCAAGTGCGGGCGAGGCAGCATCCACATAATTGGATATGCAACGTCGTCGCTACGATCTTTTTATAAATTTGAGAACGCGCATGCACACACGCATTCAACGGGAATTTAATTTATCTGGCGCGTCATTCCGTGACTTTGTTTCCGAGAAATGCGAATTCTTTTTTAATTACGACTCAAATTTGTAAGCACGCATGATTCGTATTAATTGGTGTTCAGCGGGAATGTACTTTCGTGTTTATTTGTTGCACTTCATTTGATTTACATGAGCGAAGACACTGTTATCCAAGCGTGTTGTGAACACAGGGATGTACTCGTGTCCTTACAATGTACTACGTCCACAACAATTCAAAACAAATCTATGGCTCACTCGGAATACAAATCAGACAATATTGCTATCGTCTAAAAATATCCTCTTCATCATCGTCGTCGTTTGGTTTGTTACACAGGGCCACCTCGAGAGAGGTTGGAGGTTTAATGGGCAACTTTCCCCAGGCCTCACACAAAAGAGGGGATGTTTTTTTCCGCTTTGAATTAGCGGCTAGCCCCGCATGCCATTCCGCCCTGGGCCTCCATCTCCGGGCCTCCAGGAACATTTGGGCGGCACTGATGTTAAACATGCCAGTGGGTCTCCTGGGCGTTAGGGCTGTGACGATGCAATCTATTTCCAAGCTAATGATGCGCGCGCGCGTCACAGTCCCCGCGTCTTCTACGCGCGTGCGCTGCCCGTTAGGTGAAAGGAACTTGCGTCGATGAAGTTGGCGTTGATGTAGTCGGAGTGAGGGTTGGCATCCAAGGGCTGCAGCAACACCCTGGAGTGGTCGTCTGGGGGAGTGCAAAGAAGCACGGGGGAGGGGTCGTGGCGTCATTGATATATCCAAGGTAATGCAAGTCATTTATCCAGGCACGCTTCGTTGACTCTCTAGACCCTTCAAGAGGGCCCTGCAGTCGGATGTTTGGCCAATGCAATTTTTGAGGAGTGTTCTGTGTGGGAGGAAACTCGATTACCCAGAGAAACCCCACACGTACGAGGGTTTACAATGGCAATACAATTTGTATTTATATACCGTCTCAATGCAAGCGCATCTCAAGGTGCTGTTCCACGCAGTGGGACATGACCGCTCTGGGGAAAGGAGTCACATTTATTATTATTTTATAAAGATAAAAGGACAGTCAGTGATAGGCAGAGAAGAAGAGCCTGGAATTGAACGGGGAGCAGATGGGATCATGAACCCACTCCCATCTCCTGGCCAACGGGTTTGAGAGTTTCACAAATGTGTACGTGATCCACTAACCCTTGGCTCACAAACGCTGGGCACCATGCGTGTGCATCGCCATCGTGAGATGTGGAAGCTGGGAAGATTGAGAGCGATGCGCAAGGTCTCTCCGCCAACAATCCCATCCCCCTCAAGGATTCAATTTTGAAAGGAAGGAAATTATACCTGGGCCGATAGGATATTCAACGGCCCCATTGTAGGGATCACATTATTATTATTATGAATGCGAGCGGCCGCACGTCATTCCATCAGATGATGGAATGGCGTGCGGCCTCTCGCGGTGGCACGGCCCAGAACAATTACCGCAAACTAAATTAATTAACTTTGCAACTAAGTCACGTGAAAATGCATCACACCCACGTGCACTTTCTTATGTTTTCATTAATATAAGAGTCGGCCACTTTTCGGTCGTTGCTGTTGTTGTTGTTTTTGCCATTCACTAAACGAATTACACAACAGCTGCTGAGCAGTGCATTGGATGGGCTCCGGTGGATTCCCGGCGCCGCTAGCCGGGACTCACAGGCGATGATGTTGCCGTAGCGGTTCTTGCCCCGGTTCTCCTCCTTCTTGGCCACCTGCCAGGGCGCCGACTGCCCGTCCAGGAAGCTCTGCGGTGACACCGTTAACGCACCACGGCCTCGCGTTAATGGAGCGCCGCTCAGAACGCGGGGGAGCGCACGGAGGGCGGTCGCCCTCGCCACATTGCCAAAAGAAACCGCTTCACGGAGATCTCACAGGACCGGAAGAATAACCATATCGTCCGGATAATGACGCACCTGTTTCCCATGCGTCTCGTTATCCGGTTGCTGTGTGTGACCAGATTTGTACCGCTTTATAGTCTAGATAATACGGTGAGAATGTAGATATATTGTCTTGAGTGGTATGTTGTTCAGCAACTGACAAGAAACTGGACATTTAATACGATCTTGGGAACCCCAGGACAGGTGGCGACAGTGGACAAACCATCAAGGCTACCGTGGCACCCATGTGAGACACACACAAACACAGTCACTTCTGTGATGATACTTTCGCATGAGCAGCTCAGCCACTTCTGTCACTGAACGAGCCTTCTGGCAGTTTCAGAAGTGATGGTGTGGCTGTGTGAATGTGGCTGCCCGCCAAAGGCAAATGAAAGTCCTATTGGACTCTCAGTACGGGGAAGAAGGTTACACAGCGAGTGAGCGAGCGAGAACAAGGATGCAAATATCGAAGCTCTGACCTCGTACTCCTCCTTGAAGCCGCAGCCCTCCGTCGTCTTCATCTGGTTCATGTGCTGCAGTAGGTCGGCCACGCGGATCGCCGTGCGCATCTGCGCCGGCGGGTACATCAGCTCGCCGGCCGGCACCGGCGCTGGCCCAAGGCGGTAGCCGGCATCCTTGGCACGCCCGCCCGCGTGGTAGCTCCCCTCCGGGCCCTGCTGCTGGCCTCCGGCGCGGTAGGCCGCCTCGTTGGCCGCCTGCCCCGAGCGGTACGCGGCGTCGTTGGCGGGTGGCGGCGGCGCCCGGTACGCCGCCGGGTCCGGGCCCCGGCCACCGGCGTGGTAGGCCGCGTCGCCCGGCGCGGCCCCCGCGCGGTACGAGGCCTCGCCGGAGACCTGCGGCCCCCGGTACGCCGGCTCCTTGCCGCGGCTCCCGGTTTGGTAGGCGGACTCGGGGCCCGGCGCGTGGCGCCCGGCGCGCGCCGCGTGTGGCAGCGTGTGCGCGCTCGACGTGACGCTGGGCGGGAGGCTGTGGCTCCCCGGGTCGAGCAGGATGCCCGAGTCGGAGAGCCCCGCGTGGCTGTCGTCTGCAACGAGCGGGGGGCGAGGGTCGGCACGAGAGAGGAGCCGCTGTGCATGCCGTGTGAACATGCATATGTGTGCATGCGTGTGTGGGTGTGTTCGCGTGAGGATGTGCGTGCGTCGATTGTACACGGCAAACGTAAAGATGCAGTTCTGCAAATGCTCGCTTGCTGGATGCTCGCATCATAAGTTTCCCGGCGCATGTGTTGCTAATCTAATAACCGTGTTTCTAAAAGGTGTCATTATATCCAGCTTCCACTGTAATATATTTTTAATGATAATAGCCCGAGCAGTATGTTTGTATTCGTAGCAGCATTGTTTAGTGAGCTTACCGATCAAACAAGTCAGACCTTCGCACGCCAGTTTAACTTAACCTTGCCACGGCCGTTGTTGGCCATTCTCGAGTTGCACGCACGCGTTGCGGTGGCACACAGGCCACCACCAATCATTGCCGGGGACAAGGCCACGTGCCAATTATTCAGGCTTTTAATGAAATACCGTAATTGAAAAGGATTTGGTGCTTTATACGTAACATAAAAAGCCAATAGGTAATAAAAATGCATACAAAACAATGCAATTTAAAAGCTTGGGACGCGTCCGTGGCCTTGCGCTATAATTCTGATGCACTGCGCTCGGCCGCTGAGATGAGCAGTAAAACCTGTGGGGGTTTTACTGCGCTTGGAAAATGACGCATGGCATGGTCAATGCAGCAAGGCACTCTGCCTCAGAAGCATCGGCGGCATCAGCAGTAACACCGCCATCAGCAGCCGCAGCAGCAGCAAGAGGAGCATGAGCGGCATCAGCAAAAGCAACAGAAGAAGCAGCAGAAGGCAGGGTCAGGTCACCCCAGGCACACACCAGCAGCACTCATGCCCGGACCTGAAGTTGGTTTCCAGACCCAGTTATGTTAAATCTGCCCAACGTCCTGGTTTGGCTGGGACGGTTGCAGTAGATTCAGAAAGGCCATGGTTCCAGTGACCGCCCCCAAAACCTTTTGAGAACATCAGGATGTTGTCCTCGGTCTGTGTCCGGCACCATACTTGCCGGCTACCAGAGCCCGATTTAGTCTCAAAACTCGGGAGAGTCATACTTGAGATGTTTGGCGAGTGTTCAATGCGGAACAGAAACGTGCCGTTTACGCATACTAAAGAGGGAACAAAATGAGATGTTCTCCACGTCTCCTGCCAGATGGTTTCCCTCATTTAGATCAATTTGTCATATCTGGATGAGTGACAATGTAAAGCTTGCGTCGTTTTATTTGACTTTTGGAACCAATTCACGAAAGGCTCTTAAGGCAAGCGCAGTGGCGAGCCCAGGTGTCGCCCATTCGCGAGAAACCAAGTGGAGGATGAAATGTAGAGACGTCACGAGGCCTCTCGCTTGGCCTGACGGAGGGAGACACGCGCCGGTGCTGCCGGTGCCGCGGCTTTTATTGCCGCCGCTCATCCCCAACATCCTCAGCGCAGCGTCCACGCCGCCCCACGCGCCAATCACACCAAGACATTAACGAGTGGTGGCAAGTGATTCATTTTGTAAAAAAAAACTAGAAGAGAACAACAAAGTACGATTAAAAGTTCTGTACTTAATTTAGTCGCGACAAGGGATGATTGGCCGATGATCGAGAACGATGATGATGGAGCAGCAGAAAATGCATGAAATGCATTCGAGAGGTAATCCTCTGAGGAGATGGAGTGATTATATAACCGCTGATGATAGGCATGCCCATGTCCAATTCATCGACACCCACCATGATCAATCCACTGCTGGATGAAGGCCTCGCTAAGCTGTCGACCATTTCTTGTTGATCTCTCCATGCTTCTCTGCGCACTCTTAAGTTTTTTTGTGTTTGCGTGTTTATTGCTAATGACCACGTTTGTGAAGCGCACGTCATCGACGGTAAGTACACGACGAGTACCAACGTGCCTGAAGAAGTGTTTAATCAGTGCGCACTCTCTGCTGTGACACACGCTTCAAAAACATATCTGACCGGGGAGATATTATTTATTATTAATTTCTGGCTATGTAATATTAGACCACTTTGGACAACCCTTGTCACAGCGGTCTGCTGAACACGCTCGGTGCCGCGCGGAGATACGTCAACTGCGCTCGTTGCATAGTTAATTACCCACGTTTTATACCCGGTGTGTGTGGGCGGCACATGGCGCGACTTCCACGCGGGATTTCACGTCTTCGGCCCAAGTGATTTCCCAGCTTAGAGAGCATCGAGTCCACTGGTGCTCAGCTCAAATTCACGGCCCTGAGCCAGTGGTGGAAATTCCACATTCCTATGGTGGGGGTAAGTCAATCTATAAGACAACCACTGGTCGCTTTCCCGAAAGGTGGGTGGATTGATTTTATCGACCCAGGAAAGATGATGAACCAAGTCAATTCCCCAATAAGGAGTTGAACCCGCAACCTTCCAATTGCGAGCCACTCACTCTACCACCTAGCAACCCGGCCGGTCTGAAATGCCACTAAGACACCTCCCAAAATAACCAAATCATTTGACCACCACTCGCTACTGACATTCAGTCGCAGGCAAAGACAGCAGCATTCACACACTATAAATGATGAGTCATGAAAATAAATAAATACACATACGTGCTGCAAATATAGTATACCTGTTTACATTTCAAATGCTATATAAAGGGTCACTTTTAAAAAGTGTAAATAACTAAAGAGAAGTAAGCGTATGGGGTGGAAAAGTAAACATTGGAGAAGTTTGGCAGATTCCTTCCCTTCCATCCGATCCCAATGGAGGTCTCTGTTGCTCAACGTTTTACCCTTCTCCACGCAAGGGCTTCCTCAGCCATTATGACCGACATCTCCCTTCGAAACTTTCTCCACTGGCAATATGAACTTGGTCGCCAGAGTGGTTTCTCATTATTAACGATTTCCCTGAAATATTTATACTTATGTAGTAACTGTGTTTGTCACTGTGTGGTGCCGGGCTTACGAAGCCACGGCGGACATTATGTGTAGCCCGCTTACTGGGCGTAGTACCACCAGCCCTAGCGGGGCTTGGGTGAGCGCTGGTCAGCGCGGAAGCACCGCGAGCAGTGTGCGGTGCGGGCTCCCGGCGAGGGAGCGAGAGAGAGCAGTCAGCCAGGGTTACGTTGGGGCACGATACGCTGGTTTACCTGCTAACATGTGACCGGATGATATTGGAGTGGGGCCACTGGTGGACGGGGGCCGCTGGGTGGTCACGTGGTCTAAAAGAGCTCTCGGGAGCCTTCGAGAAAGAGCTCGAGAGATCTGGAAGGTGGGCGGGGCGAAGGGCAGAGCCAGCCCCAGCCCAGGGAGATATAATGGGCGCCCCGTGAGTAGCTCGAGGTTCTTCGTATGCTGGTGTGAAGAAGATCCACGTCGGGGAGAAGAAGCCTCTGGCCACGCGGTCCGGGACCCAGCTTGTGGTCCGGGCCGGGATAGCGAACCGTGTCTAGTTCTGCCGTAGCGTGGTTAGATGGGCATTCAATACCCGAGTGCAGATTGTCTGATGTTACGTTGAAGTTGCTTAATAAATAGTGTTGCTCCCAAGACAACGTCTGCGACTCAGTTGGACTGACTACATTTATGTGGTGGCCTCCAGGGGGCCACTGCGGTGTAGAGAAAGTGCCCAGTGAGGGGTGGTACTGTAAGGGCGGAGCCCGGGTGTCGCTGAGAAGGGGGTCGCGTGAGGATGTGACAGCAGGGCAGGGAGGCCCCTAGTCGGGGGTGAGAGGATCACGTGGTGAGGATCCAGAGTCCCCACGAGGGTTCTGGAAGGGGGACGTGGCCAAGGGCACAGCCGGCCATGGCAGGGGAGTTATAAGCGGGGTCCCGAGAGGGATCGGGGCATTCAACTCTGGGACTGAAGTCGCCATCCTCGATCCTCGGGCCTCGGTCTCTGGTCTTCACGCATGGACCAGACAGCCAGTCAGCTGTCCTGGTACGAATATACAATTGTCTCTCTGAATGTCAGTTTAGTTCGTCGTGGTGGTCACCACCCTATGCTGTTATCCTGTTAGAGTTACCCGTTGTGTTAAATAAACGTGTTGCCTTCAAGTACAAGTGTGCGCCTAAGCTAACACACTACACTTAGACCCAAACATTTGCACGAGGCACGCGAGCGGCTCCCGTAAAACTGCGCATCAACAATGGATGTTTCTGGCGTCTATGCGAGTGCCCGCGACCCACGTCGCCGAGGGACGCGACATTCGACCATTGTGGGACCAGTGGCGCAGCGGGGGCTCACGTCGGCCCCGGTGCAATTAACCATTTGCCGTTCAGAGACGTCTTCAAGTTGGAGGGTGGGTCCACGTACACCGCTGAATCTCGGAACGTGCGAGCTGTTAGTGTGAAGTTTATTTTGAGAGGCATAGCGACGCTGTTTTTGAAGGCATTGTACTCACTGCAGAGAACGGCAGCGAGACGACTGCACTCTGATAACTGGTGCCAAATTGTGCCGCACGCCCTTCTGCACGGTCTTGTGGGAGCCTCGGTACCAATAAAGTTATTTAATTAAAAACATTTATTTCGAATCCATTCGGAATCCATATATAATATAATGTTGCCCATCCCTGTCCAATTTTTCTCCGTCTTCCCTGCCAAGTGGCCAGGGCAACCTGCGGCTCACAGGGCCCTGGTAGAGTTGCGCCGCCTGCACACTCAATAGTTGTGCCACTTGATGGAGGTCGAGCCAGGAAATGTCGTCAAGGATGGTGATATCACGTGCAAGATGAAAATCTAGTTCGTGCGGAGGGCAGGCGAGCGCCAGCGCTCCTCCATAGCTACGCCGCTCTTTGGGACTCGCCGTCCCTCCACGGGAAGCTCGCCGCACGTCGCCCAGCCACGATTGGGCACGACATCGACCGCCACACGCAGCCTTCCGCGAAGGCCGAGCCAGCACGAGTGTTTATTGCCGGCATCTCATATTGCCCTGCAGCAGTTTTGCCTCGGTGTCAACTCAGCACGAGGGGAATCAAGACCCAGCAGGCAATCAAGAGCGGACTCTCATCCCGCAATT